CACTTACGTGCTGAATGAAACCAAAGGTCTCAAAATACAGAGCCGTCCTTTGCTTTCTGTCATTCAACATTTTCTAACATGTACATTAATATCACTGTAATATACTAAACTCTCAAAATCTTGCAAACGAATGAAAGTAGTTCAGTAAAAATGCGTCAATAAAATCGCAACTTGACTGTGGTGGCCTGTACAGGACAATGAAAGAGTAAGAAGATGCTGTTGTTTCCATTTTAAAAGAAATATACCTCAAACGATGAAAAATTTCCAAGGGGCATTTATGGGAGACAAAGTGCTCTCTTAAAACTGCAGCTATGCCTCCCTTTTGTTTCTCGTATTTCGGATCGAATTTAAATGGGTGTGTGTTGCTTATTAGAACTGCTTTTCCTGTATTTTGGTCCAGGCATTTCCTGTATTTTGGTCAGCCATGTTTTCAGACATAAGCTGAATATATGGCTGAAACATGCTGGACCAAAATATACAGGAAAGCTCGGGACCAAAAATAACAGGAAATGCAGTTCAATAGAGCAAACACCACCCATTTTAAATTCGAATCCGAAATACGAGGAAAACAAAAGGGGGGGGGAGGCATAGCTGCGTTGTTTAAGAGCACTTTGTCTCCCTAGAATGCCCCTTGGAAATTTTTTCATCGATTGAGTATATTTCTTTTTAAACTGGAACAACGCAATTCTTCTACTCTTTTCATTGTCCTGTACAGGCCACCACAGTCATGTTGCGCTTTTATTGACATTTGTACTGAACTATTCATTCGTGTGCACAGATTTTGTTATGTTAGTTGATCTACTGGTGATTTGTATTGTACATGTGATAATGTTGTGACAGAAATTGCAAAGGAGCTGGCTCTGTATTGAGACCTTTGGTTTCATTCAGCACGTAAGTGGCCCCACCCACAGCAGGGGGGCACACTCTTGACCTGCTAATTACAAAGGGGTTAAGTATCAATGTTAATGTAGTTTGATGTTGCTTTGTCAGATCAGGTCTGTGTATATTTTGACATGTGTTTTGATAGCAAAACCACAGCTGAATCTACAATTTTCTCGAGAAGACAATACTGGAAAACACAGTGAACTGTTCACTGGGAATGCTAAATTGTGAGGAAAACTCCATGCTCTACGCTGTTGATGAATTGTATCTACTCTGTCACACCTGTGTTCTGACTGTTCTCGGACGCCCATAGCGAACCTCCTGTGACGTTTCAACATTTACCAGTAGAAAAAGAGCGCACCTACCCTGGACTAAGTGCAGACTCGGTCAGGACAGAAGCAAGAGTGCGGAGGGCCGCGAAGGAAGTGGCGAAAGTCCGATTTCCAGGCGATTATGAAATCTTTAAAGATTGAGTGGGTGAATTTAACCGGGTTCTTCGTAGAACAAGGTATTGTATTTTTCTGACATTATTGGTGGTTTGCAGTTACAATTTTGGGTGTTATGTTTTCAACAGTTGGTAGATGAACGAACCCCCCTGTAAAGTTGCCCTAGAATTTTCCACTAAATCTAGGTGTAATGAGGTTCGCACAGTTTTTCGTGACAAAGTACATGGAATCACACAAAAACACTATCACCTCCACAGCAACGTATAACAATGGCAACAGCCAGAGAAGCTTTTTGAGCTAACTCACTTTGCACCTGTGGGATACTGAAACTGTCAAAAAGATAATCATGAGTCTGAGCTCTCCACATGTGCCTGGATATATTGCCCTTCTAAATTTCTGAAGTCCGTCCTGAGCAGTTTGTTACCTTCACTGAAACAAATAGTAAACCTGTCTCTGTCGTCAGGAAACATTTCCTATGGCCTAAAAACAGCAGTCATAAGACCTTCCTAAAAAGAGCAGTCTGGATCTGCGGACTTCAAAATTATCGCCCCATATCGAATCTGCCATTCATTGGAAAATTCGTTGAAAAAGTGGCCTACAACAACTGTACTGAATTTTTTAACAATGAATAATTTTTTGATTTGTTACAGTCTGGGTTTAGACCTCACCACAGCCACTGAGGACCAGCTTAGTGAAAGGGTAACAAACGGGACATTTCGACTTCACACTGATGCAGGTAATGTCACAGTTTTGGTCATGTTTGTTCTTAGGGCCGCGTTCGACACTGTCGACCATGAGAAATTCCTCATGCAGAGACTGGAGGACTGGTTGGTATCACTGGACAGCCCTAGACTGGTTTTTAGGTCTTCTGGGAGGATAGGATCGTACTTTGTGGAGATGGAGGACTGCGTCTCGGATATGTGGCTGACCTGTGGAGTACACAGGGGTCGGATCCGGGACTCTCCTATTTAATTCTCTAATGCTGCCGTTTAGGACAGTTAATACAAGAAAACAAAGTTGTCTACACAATTACGCGACGACACTCAGATCTATGTCTCACTGACTGCAGGAGCACATGGACCACTGGCTTTGCTCCTTCCACTGTATCCAACTAGATCAGTGATGGATGCAAATAATTTCTTCAGCTAAATGCAGACAGACCGAAATCATTGTCTTTGGTCCCAGAATACAAAGAGAGGGCGTCATTTGCAACTTCAGTCTCTCTCCTAACTTCCTTCAGACAAGGTCCGTAAATTTGGGGAGGGGTTAATACTGGACTCAGACTAAAATTCAATAGCCACATAAAATCAATAACAATCAACAGCTTTTTACCCTCTGAATGAACATTGCCAAAAGTTTGAAATATAGTGTCTAAAGCAGACTGGAGATGCCTTGGTCATGCATTTGTCTCCAGCAGGCTAGTCTACTGCAATGGCTGCTTAAGGTCTGTCCAACAGACCTGTAAGCAGCTGCAGTACATCCAAATGCAGCAGCTAGAGTCCTGACAGAACCAGGACAGTATGACCATAATTAGTACGGTTCTCAGGTCTCTGCACGGGCTTCCTGTGGCTCAGAGAATAGATTTTAAACTGCTCTGCTTGTGTACAAAGTCTCTCCATGGCCTTGCACCCAAATACATTAGGCAAGGCAAGAGCAAGCAAGGGCAAAGGCTAGTTTATTATATAGCACAATTATTAACACAAGGCAATTCAATAAGATGGCGGAACAAATCAAGGAAAGCATTAAAATCATAAATAATCACAGAACATTAAAAAGTAAAGTTACAATATAAATTCCCTCAGTTGTATGCACAGCTAAACGAAATGTCTTTACCTTGGTTTTAACATTGTCTGAGAGGAGGCCTGTCTCACATCTCCAGGAAGACTGTTCCAGATTTTATCAGCATGAATCTGAAAAGCAGCTCTCCTCCCCTGTTTAGTTCTGACTCTGGGCACTAACAGGAGTCAGTCCCTGTGCTCCTCTGAGTCCGGGCTAGGTTATAGGGTACTAACATGTCACTAAATATATATATTTTGGTTGCGAGCCATGGAGAGACTTGTACAAAGCAGAGCTGTTTAAAGTCTATTCTCTGAGCCACAGGAGCCAGTGCAGAGACTGAGGACCGATAATATGGTCGTACTTCCTGGTTCTAGCAGGACTCGAGCTGCTGCATTTTGAATGTACTTGCAGTGTTTTACAGGCCTGTTTGAAGACCTGTGAGCAGGCCATTGCGTAGTCTAACATACTGGAGACAAATGCATGGATAGATCTCCAAGTCTGCTCTTAGATCACAGATGTTTTTGATACTGGCAATGTTTTTTAGCTGGTAAAAAGCTGCTGTGTTACTGATTTGATGTGGCTATTAAAATTTAAGTCTGAGGTCCAGTATTATACCCCTAGATTTCTGGACCTTGTTTGAAGGTTTTAGGGATGAGAGGGAATGTCGGTGACAGATGACGCTCTCTCTTTGTTTCTGGGGACCAAGACAATCATTTCAGTTTTGTCTGCGTTAAGCTGAAGGAGTTGTTTTGCATCACTCACTGATCTGTTGGATTACAGTGAAGGATGTGAGTCACTGGTCCATGTTCTCCTGCAGTCTGTGAGACATAGTCTGTAAGTGTCGTCGCAATAGTTATGATAGGAACTTTGTTTCTGCGTATTACTGACTAACGGCAGCAATGTAGAGATTGAACAGTAGAGGTCCCCAGGATCGACCCCTGTGGGACTCCACAGGTCAGGGCCATTATGATCTGAGAACGTTTCCAATCACCAAAGTACTTCTGGCCTCAAGGTAAGACTAACCAACTTAGGGCCCGGTTGCCAGCGACCTCAAACCCAGTCCTCTATCTCTGTAGGATCTCATGGTCGACGGTTTCTGTCACCAGGCAGCACTTAGATCTAAAAGTTTAAGATTGAGAACTTTGCATGCGGCAGTGTTCAGCCGGAGTATCGTTGTGTAACCTTGACGAGCGCTGTCTCAGAGCTGTGGTGGGGACTATGCGGACTGAAACATAGCTAATGATTGTTGATTTATAAGAAATCTAGTAAGCTGTAGCGTAGAAACTATTTTCAAGGACTTTCCCCATAAATGGCAGATTTGAGATGGGACGATAGTTGTTAAGTTACCGTAGCATCGAGACTGCTTTTTTAGCCTGGGGGCCTGATGTCTGCAGTTTTCAGGGCCTTTGGGATTATTCAGAATGAAGGGGACATGTTTTACTATCTGTATGTGAGTGAAGGTAACAGACTGCTCAGAACAGGGGTCTTCAGAAATTATTGGGTAGTGACATCAAGCTGGCATGTGGAGGAGCTTCAAACTGGAGATTATCTCTTGGACAGTTTATCATTTACAGGTGCAAGTGAGTTAGATCAGAGAGCCTTCCGCGCTGGTTATAGGCAAAGTGGGTTAAGTGTCTTGCCCCAAGGACACAATGACAGCAGACATCAGTGGAGTCAGTGGAGAAGGTCTCAAGGTGGGCTCAGAGGCCAATGCTCTACCAACAGCTAATTCACCATAAATGATACAGTATTTACCTCTTAATTAGCTGTTGATTAGTAAAGGTTTATCTAAAATGTGACCCATATTTGTAATTGTTCAGGTTGATGGTTCCATTCCCGTCTGACTCACGCTCGGCTGAAGATGTGAAGAGAGAGGAGCTGTTACGTGACATCATGCACAAGGACCGGTCTCTGGCTGAAGTCCTGGACCAGAGCGGGCGCCGTACCACCATGGACCTGATGGAGGGACTGTACCCAGAGGAGGAGGGGGTCCAGAGGCACAGAGCCCCCAGACCTCTAGCCTCACCACGCAACAACCAAAGGTCAGAGAGAGACCAGAGAGAGACCAGAGAGAGACCAGAGAGTGATCAGAGAGTGATCAGAGTGAGACCAGAGAGAGACCAGAGAGAGACCAGAGAGTGATCAGAGAGTGATCAGAGAGTGATCAGAGAGAGACCAGAGAGAGACCAGAGAGTGATCAGAGAGTGATCAGAGAGTGATCAGAGAGAGACCAGAGAGAGACCAGAGAGAGACCAGAGAGAGACCAGAGAGAGACCAGAGAGAGACCAGAGAGAGACCAGAGAGAAACTACTGATTGAGGCAACTGTGACTGTTTTAGAGCCAGGGACTGGTGACGTGGTTGTCACGTGTTTTTTATGCGTTTAATTATTTCGCTGCTTATTCATTAAAGCTGGGTTACGTAACTTTTGAATCACAACAGTGTCATGTCTTATCTTAAAAGGATTTCTGTTCAACTGATCAAATGTGTTAAATATGAAACACTAAAGTCAGGTGCCTCAGTTTTAATAGAGACATGTTGGTGATTGTGTGTTATGTGTGTGTGATATGATGTTGTGTTTGCAGGAAGGAGGAGGACCATGTGTGTCTCAGCCTGGTCCCCAGCTCTTCCTACTACAACACGTCTGCTCCCAAAGCTGAGCTGCTCATCAAGATGAAGGACATGGGACAGGAGCTGGAGCAGGATTCTGAGGACGAGCTGGACCCAGGGCTGGCCAGCAAGAAGGTACCAGAGAGAGAACAGAAAGAGTCCAGAGAGAGACCACAGAGAGACCACAGAGAGACCACAGAGAGACCACAGAGAGACCAGAGAGAGACCACAGAGAGACCAGAGAGAGACCAGAGAGAGACCAGAGAGAGACCAGAGAGAGACCAGAGAGAGACCATAAAGAGACCCGAGAGAGTCCAGAGAGAGTCCAGAGAGAGTCCAGAGAGAGACCAGAGAGAGACCAGAGAGAGACCAGAGAGAGACCAGAGAGAGACCCGAGAGACCCGAGAGAGACCAGAAAGAGACCAGAGAGAGACCAGAATACCAGAGAGCGACCAGAAAGACCAGAGAGAGACCAGAAATACCAGAGAGCGACCAGAAATACCAGAGAGCGACCAGAGAGCGACCAGAGAGCGACCAGAGAGAGACCCGAGAGCGACCAGAGAGCGACCAGAAAGAGACCAGAGAGAGACTAGAGAGAGACAGAGAGAGACTAGAGAGAGACTAGAGAGAGACTAGAGAGAGACTAGAGAGAGACTAGAGAGAGACTAGAGAGAGACTAGAGAGAGACCAGAGAGAGACTAGAGAGAGACTAGAGAGAGACTAGAGAGAGACTAGAGAGAGACTAGAGAGAGACCGGAGAGAGACAGACACCAGCTTGTCTGGCTTAGTAGAGAAGGAAGAGGAGAGCCACAATTCCTTGTGTTTTTGTGTCTCTTTAGCATGAGTTGATCTGGAGCCTGGCCCGGAAGCTGGCCGTGCTCCGCGAGGCTCGATGGTCTCTGCAGGAGGACGTGGAGCAGAACGAGGCGCTGGGTAGAGAGGTGGAGACCATGGTGCAGCGAATGTGTCGGCAGAACCAGCTGGAACGCTTCCGGATGTTTGTGGGAGACCTGGACAAAGTTGTGTCTCTTCTGCTGTCTCTGTCCGGACGCCTCCTCGCCCGAGTCGAGAACGCTCTGAACAGTCTCGACCCGGACGCACCCAACTCTGAGAAGGTATGATACAAGACCAGAGAGAGACCAGAGAAAGACATATCAGAGAGAGAGCAGAAAAAGAGGGACCAGAGAGCAAGAGACTAGAGAGAGACATACCAGAGAGGGAGCAGAGAGAGAGAAACCAGAGAGAGAGAGACCAGAGAGAGAGAGAGACCAGAGAGAGACCGGCGAGTAAGAGACAAGAGAGAAAGTAGAGAGAGACCAGGGAGAGACCAGAGAGAGACGAGAAAGAGATCAGTGAGGGACCAGAGAGAGACCTTTTGATCCTCTGCTCCCTGTGGTCATAACACTGAGTCTCTGTTGCAGATGACTCTGACAGAGAAGAGGAAGCTGCTGATGCGTCAGCACGAGGACGCCAAGGAGTTGAAGGAGAACCTGGACCGCCGCGAGCGCATGGTGTCCGTCGTCATGGAGACGCACCTGTCGCCCGCCAGCCTGGACGACTACCGTCACTTTGTAAAGATGAAGTCTGCGCTCATCATTGAACAGCGCCGCCTAGAGGACAAGGTTAAAAACTGGGAGAGGAGCAACTGACATGTCTGCTGGACAGTCTGCCGCTGGACCAGAGGCCACTGCTGTAGGACTACAATACAATACAATACAATACAATACAATTTACTCTTGTATAGCCCTAAATCACAACAGTAGTCCTCTCAGAGGACTTAACAAAACCATTGAAATCACCAACACAGATCAGAGAATCATCATTTAAAACACAAAAAAATAATATAGAACACATGTTGATAAGCAGGTTGTAGTTTGGCAATGGCAAAGAATGCAATAGTAAAGCATTCCGGTCTGGTTCTATCAAGAAATTGAAGCCGGGGCAAGAAGAATGTTTAGCACATGCCATTGCTGGCAAAGATTGTGGCACTACTCCCCACGGGCTTTGTTAGCGGCAAAGGAGATGCCGAGGCTAAATGCTGTTTACAACTCACTTGGGCGCATTACATACTAATCAGATCCAATCGTTTCAATCTGCAAAAGTAGTTAACCCCTCCCACCTGTTAACAAAGCTCAATGGAGCACCTCTAGACCTTAGTACGAAATGTAATTTGTACTATGGTGGGGTACGAGGTACGACCAGGCTAATATGTAGAAGCTGCTGTAGGACTAAAACTCTGGGACCTAACTTAAACAACACTATGCAATTATATGTAACTGCTGTAGAAACTAAAGCTGGGGGACCTAACTTCATTCAACAAAAATGTTGGGACACAAAAAACAGCAGGGAGTGGTCTCAGTATTTCATCCCTACTGACCAGTCATTTGCGTTTCATAGAGTCGTAGTTAAATGGGTAACTTTAGACGTGAGTTCTATAAAGGAGCGATGTATATAAATAATGTTAATGTGATAACGTATGATTGTCTGCTCACGTTTGGGCAAACCATGGAGCTGGTTCGTATCACTCTTTTGCCTTCACTGATCAATGAGCATCATTATCTGAGACTTTCAACTGAAACTACAATGTTTTTCAGTTTTTTACTTCCCTCTCTGATGTTGTAATATAATGTTAAATGTGTTTAGTAACTTATTGAAGCCTTATTGAAGACGAGAGAAATAGAGACTAGAGAAAGACAGAAGAGAAAGAGACTAGACAGAGACCAGAGAGAGACCAGAGGGAGACCAGAGGGAGAGAGATAAGAGACCAGAGAGAGACAGAAGAGATAGACCAGTGAGAGAGGCTAGGGAGAGACCAGAGGGAGGGAGAGAGAGAAGGGAGACTATAGGGATGAGAGAAAAGCCAGACTTTTTGACAAAAAATAAAGTTTATTATGATGTGAAATGTTTAGTAAATTGAAGACTTTTTGAAGAGTGTTGAATAAATGTACAACATTGTTTTCTAATGTTGACTCCATCCTCACTAACATCAGGAACTTTCTACACTTTATTTTGAGATGTATTTTTGCTGGAGTTTTGTCGACGGAAGCTGGAGTCTGGGACCATAACCTGTCAATCATTCACCAGGTTTATGAGGAGGCGACGAGAAGGAAGTGAATCAAACATTTCTCTTTCTGTGCAATGAAAGGTAAGAGATCAGGACTGAAACAGGACTGAAACAGGACTGAACTAGGACTGAACCAGGCCTGAACCAGGACTGAACTAGGACTGAACCAGGACTGAACCAGAGAATGGATCAGGACTGGACCACGACTGAACCAGAGAATGGATCAGGACTGGTCCCCGTGAAGTCCCATGCACTACCGAGCACAAGCCATTCATTTGAATAGGGCACCATCTTGGATCATCATCTATGGGGGCTTGGGTCACCCATATAGTATAAGTTAAGTTGCGTTTCCACCACAGGAACTTCGGGGTAATTTTCTAGGGCCACCCCCTCAGGTGCGTGTCTCCACTGCAGGAACCTCCCCCACAGGGCCATTTACATATGGGGACCAAGGGAGTCCCTCCTCCATGCTAGGTACTTCGTTGGGCCCTGAACAGCTCCTGGTGGGGCTTGAGGAAAACCTGGCGTTGATTGGCTAAAGCTAGAGCAGGCTCTGACGCCAGCAGCTAGCACCAAAACAAACAGCCTTTTCAAAATCCAGCAGCTTTAGCCAAGCAGTATTAGCCTAGCAGTATTAGCCTAGCAGTATTAGCCTAGCAGACACCACTTGAAACAGCAAACGATAGCAAGATGTACGATAAATGGACGGATGATGAGGTGAAGGCAGTTGCCTTCTACAGCAGTGTTTTTCAACCACTGTGCCGCGGCACACTAGTGTGCCGTATGATATTGTCTGGTGTGCCGTGAGAAATTCGTCTACTTTGTCTAAAAATAGCTGCATTCGCTGTTGACGAGCGGTGACTTGTTTTGAACTGTGAGTAACCATGTAATACTTTTTTCAAATCAGTAGATGGCAGCAGATAGCTAAGTACTTTGAAACTGAAAAATTGGATGCGACCACTGGCTGTAACAGGTCAGCATTGTGGCGAGAAAGGTAAAATTGGATGCGACCAACAAATGTGTGAGGGAGCGAGACAAGAGCTTTGTGGCGAGTGAGAAGTGAAAGTGATAGACGTTTTTGAAAATGAATTATGCCGTTTCTGAACAGGATTAACATCCTCCGCTCTGCCCCGGGGTAGCTGTGGCCGCGTTGTAGTGGTTTAACTATGAAATGTACAATTTTTGTACAACAGCTCTCGCGAACGCACTTCTGAACTGGGTACCGAGCGCAGACCGTAGTCGAGTGGACAGAACCACAGACATGCGGACCGGACAGAACCATGGACTCGCGTTCAGGACCTCCCGTGTCCCTCATCCAAAACTCCTGAATTTAAAGCTCGGATACCAAAATGTTTCCCATGCACTAACAATGCATGTTCTTTGTGTGAGTTATTATTTGACTATTTGGGCAGAGAGTGGATTTTCTTAGTTTTTTTCCACACAGTTAGTGCCACTTTATTCCCAAACTCTTGTTAATTGTATCGAGAAATATTAAAAAAGCTTAATTTCAAGGCCTGGACTTAAGCATTTTGATGAGAATAACTGTATATTGTGAATATAGGCTACAGAGTATACTGTATACATTATAAGATAAGATATACTTTATATATCACACAGAGTATGTACAGTATATATTTTTTTACATTAGTACTGTATACATTTTTACATTTTCTCCTGGAGGTGTGCCGCAAGATTTTTTCAGTGAAAAAAGTGTGCCTTGGCTCAAAAAAGGTTGAAAAACACTGTTCTACAGCACCACAGAAATTCAGATGAGGTTTGAGGCATCGCGGCAAAATGAAAAGATATTAGCAGACATCGAAGCACTGGGGATTCATCACACTCAGAAACAATGTTGTAAAAAGTTACACAAAACTTAAGGAGGACTATACAAAGACCAAAATCGGAGTGGTTTCCACTATAAAATAAATAATTATTGCTTACACTGGGATCAAAACTCATGATGTCGCCGAGGGGTCCAACTCCTATACTTGTCCCACTTCCGTCCTTTTACCAGGAATCTAAAAAAAGAACTCTCTTTCAATTAAATTTAATCTTGTATAGATTAAATCACAATAGTAGTTATCTCAAAGGACTTTACAAAACGTTACCGCTGAATTTGCCACAGATCAGAGAATTAACCAGTTTAAATAAACTTCCTTTATTGCATTTCTTTTGTTTGAACTGACGTTATTAGAGTATTTTCACTGCTGATCCTGATGAGCATCTGATAAAAAATTACTGACTGAAGCACTCCTCTTTCTTGAACTGTTAGTTTTTAAATAAAGCACAACGCTGATGTCACACTGTTGCTCCCTCCTCGTCCTCCAGATGGTGTACTTGGCGCACTCTGCTCAGGCGCAGCTTGGAGCTCTCCCGCTGGGGCTAGTGGGGTGTTCTCTGCTCGCCGTGTCGCTGGGTCTGGTGCAGTGGCGTGTCTGGCTGATCCCGCAACACCCGAGTGTCTCCTCCGGCATCGCATGGATCGGTATCTTCCGTGCGTGTTTCTTCTCCCACCATGACGCTTCCCCCGAGCTCCTTGTTATGCACTGCTCCTCGTTCCACCTCTGCGATGCTTTCACGCCTCTGGAAATCACAGCCGCGCAGATTCTAATGTTTGTGTCGTTAGCCAGCGGAATCCTAGGCTTTGCTGCTCTTCTCTACGCATTACGGAACGCCTTTTTCGGGATAAAAAAGCGCACTAGGTTTGCTTTCCGCTCAGGAGGCGTGCTCACTCTGCTGGCGGCCATCTTGTCGCTGATTCCGCTTCTGTGGAACGCCGTGGTCGTGTTGCACGGCGGTTCCATCAACTTCCCGCCAGACTTCAAACTCCCGCCAACGCCCGAGGAGCAGCAGGTGGGTGGGGCCGTGTGGGTAGGTCTCGTGGGTGTGGCTCTGCTGGTTGTCACGGCGATCATAAATTTTTCCTACAAGCTGCCAGAAGACGGAGCACGGTGGGAACGACGAGGCAAAGACAACGCAGCCTTCCAGTTCGACGATGTTCGGATTTGAGACAACGTCCAACAAACATTTCACCATATTTTTATTGTTTGATATTTTTTTGTGGGAAAAAGAAGTTAGTTCAACATTGTTTCATATATAAAAGCAGGTCACCACCCTTTATTCGTACATTATAGGTGTTTTTCTATTTTTTTCCCCTAAATCCTTTCAAAATACCGATTCATTCTGCATGAAGTTTACATTGGTGCAGATAATCAGGCACGTCCCCCCCCCCCCCTTCTGTCCAAATGTTCATTATGGGGTGCCGTTTGTAAAAATTCTGTTAAAATTTTTTAGCTGAACATTTTTCTACATTTAGCTCACTTTCCTCACATTTAGCACATTTTCCTCACATTTAAGACATATCTATATCTAAATATTATATCTATATCTAAATGTTAAATGTTATATCTAAATATTATATCTATATCTAAATGTTATATCTAAATGTTAAATCTAAATGTTAAATCTAAATGTTAAATCTAAATGTTAAATCTAAATGTTAAATCTAAATGTGTCGCCAAGTGTAAAGCTAAATATATAGAAACCACGCCCACTGCAGTGGCTTCAAATCCAGTGGGCCCGCCTTCCGTGCCGTGTGGTGAGTGGGGGCGGTGCCGCGTGTTTTGAACATAGGAATACACGTGGACCGACGTCACGGCTCAAGGCATGTTGGGTCTCCGGCGCCATCGTCCTTGGCCACGGCACAAAATTAGCATTTTTGTGAAGATTCTTGCTTATTTGCTGGAGCCAGAGTGTATTCACTGTAAACTAAGCCACGTGGAGTCCCGTGAGATTCCTGTGTAATCCTGTAGGGTTCTCACCACACGGCACGGAAGGCGGGCCCACTGGATTTGAAGCCACTGCAGTGGGCGTGGTTTCTATATATTTAGCTTTACACTTGGCGACACATTTAGATTTAACATTTAGATTTAACATTTAGATTTAACATTTAGATTTAACATTTAGATTTAACATTTAGATATAGATTTAACATTTAGATATAGATATAACATTTAGATATAGATATAATATTTAGATATAGATATAACATTTAGATATAGATATAACATTTAGATTTAACATTTAGATTTAACATTTAGATTTAACATTTAGATTTAACATTTAGATATAGATATATAACATTTAGATATAGATATAATATTTAGATTTAACATTTAGATATAGATATAATATTTAGATATAGATATAACATTTAGATATAGATATGTCTTAAATGTGAGGAAAATGTGCTAAATGTGAGGAAAGTGAGCTAAATGTAGAAAAATGTTCAGCTAAAAAATTTTAACAGAATTTTTACAAACGGCACCCCATAGTTCATAGCTCAAACCTGGTTCACTTTAAAGATCAACTAAACACCAGTGCCCAGCCTGACTCCGCCCACATGAACATTTGAAAATTCTCCCCAAAATGGGCGTTGCCGGGAGGACCAAGGGACAAGAAGGGGGGCTTAGAGTTGGGCGTGGCGTGGGCTTTGATTGACGGCTCTCTTGTAACTATGGAGAGTGAATCCTCATTATATCAAACTGTGTTCAGAGCAGAATGGAATTTGCATACAACTGCTGCATGTGATGTTTTAAGTTCACAGAAATAGTAAGAATATTATCTCCTGCTTCTGCCGCACCAAAATCTACAATATATTTGTTACTGTGAAATTTACATTTAAGTTTTTTGTTTTGTGGAAAACAAGAACTGATCATCATCCAACATCGTACTCCTATTATCTGTGTATTTCATACTATATATATATATATGTACTGTATATAGTGTTGAATTTTGTATTATTTAAAACAAGTAAAATAGTAACTGTGGATGCACATGGACCAAATGGGTTGATTATTGTTTTCCCCCTAGTTTTTAACTTTGGACTTCAGGGAGGGGGTTTCTGGGAATATTTTTTTTTTGATAGGTTTTTTGTACTCTTACTTATCCTTGCTCCTGCCAGTCTCTCTTCAGAGATTGACACGTTTGTCTGTGTTTGTATGAATGTGTTTTTTGTTTTTTGATCAAGCTCCTCCGTGCTCGCTCCTCCCCCTGCACTGTCACATTTATCTAATGGTTAATAAATGAAAATGACAACAAAGGGACTGAAAATAATGAATCTGAACTTTAGGAGCATAGTATCTAAAATGGACTTTCTCAGACTGTGGTCACACCAGTACAAACCTAACATCAGTATTTCAGAAACGTGGCTGCACAATGGTATCTCAGATGATGAGGTAAAAATTGATAGATTTGTTTTGCATCGATCGGATCAAGGTTCAAGAGGAGGTGGTGTGGCAACATATGTATCCAATAACTTAACCTCAGTGCGTGTCTTTCCAACTGATGAGCCAGTTAACTTTGAGTGTTTATCTGTTGATATTCACTTTCACGCCAACAAACATTTAACCATCACTAATATCTATAGGCCCCGTCTGTTCCGGCTGACTCTATGAAAGAGTTAGTTCCTTTAAAAAACGAACTTGGGTGACTTTAACTGTAACTGGCTCCACAGAATCTCCTCTTCTGGTGTCATGGCAGATTGCTTCAGAAATCATTCCATTGTTTTCTGTGTCTGGAAAATAAAAACTCCCCCATCACATTTAGACAAACCAAGAATCTGAATACAGACAGATTTATTAATGATGTATTAAATATTAACTGGGACCGGTTTAAACTCATTCCAAATGCTGAGGATGCGTCTGTATTCACCAACATCATCAACAAACACGCCCCTTTCAAAACGCTCCCCTGGATCACCTCTGCAGAGAAAGAGATGCAGCATGGGAAAAACACAAACAAAACAAAACATCCGGCTGATTGGGAAACTTACAAATTACTTAGAAATAACTGCACAACACAAACAAGGAACGCAAAATCTGAATATTTCAAAGAGGGGTTTGCTCAAAACATGAACAACCCAAAGAAATTCTGGGCCCAACTTCATCTGGTCTGAAACAAATCTAAAAATAAATTAACTGAACATGTAGTAGTAAACTATGAAAATATATCAGATCCAATCAAAATATCTCAAGCATTTAATGAATATTTCTCTTCCATAAACAAAATAATCCCTAACAACTGTGTCTGGTGATTGCCAAAACACATCTCGTGCTGGTCCTTCTTTCTCGTTTTCAAAAATATCTCCACTTACTGTTTATACTTGTTTAAATGAATTAAAACCAAACTGCGGAGCTGGTCCAGACAATCTTGAAGTTAACTTTCTGAAAATTGCTGCTCACGTCCTTATGTTTCCTTTATCCGACCTCTTTAATTTGTCAATAAAAACCTCAACAATTCCATCAATTTTTAAAACTGCCAGAGTCAATCCTGTTTTCAACGAAGGTGATCCCTCAAAAATAATATTCCAACAATTAAATCACTACATGAATTAAGTCAATATACTTTCTCCTTTTCAGTCCGGTTTTCGTTCAGGGTTTTCTACAACAACTGCTTTATTAAAATTCACAAATGAGGTTTTTCAGACAGAAATGCTATTCTTTGGTTCAATTCATATCCTCACAGTCGATTTCAATATGTTGTTTGTCATGTTGCACGATCAGGGAGAGCTATAGTTTATAAAGGTGTTCCACAGGGCTCCACATTAGGCCCCCTTCTTTTTTAAATTTTTATTAATGATCTCCAACACGTTATTTCCAACTGCTCCATAAACATCTACGCCGATGACACAGTTATTTACAACTCAAACTCATCATCACATCTCTCCAAAATCTGTTGCAACTTGATTTTGACTCCACACAAAACTGGCTCTCCATCCATCCATCCATCCATTTTCTTCCGCTTCATCCGTTGCCGGGTCGCGGGGGCAGCAGTCTAAGCAGAGACGCCCAGACTTCCCTATCCACACACACCTCCTCCAGCTCGTCTGGGGGGACTCCAAGGCGTTCCCAGGCCAGCTGAGAGACATAGTCCCTCCAGCGTGTCCTGGGTCTTCCCCGGGGCCTCCTCCCGGTGGGACGTGCCCGGAACACACCTCCCCAGGGAGGCGTCCAGGAGGCATCCGGAACAGATGCCCGAGCCACCTCAACTGGTTCCTCTCGACGTGGAGTAGCAGCGGCTCTACTCCGAGCTCCTCCCGTGTGACTGAGCTCCTCACCCTATCTCTAAGGGAGCGCCCAGCCACTCTGCGGAGGAAGCTCATTTCGACCGCTTGTATCCGCGATCTTGTTCTTTCGGTCATTACCCAAAGCTCATGACCATAGGTGAGGGAGGGAACGAAGATTGACCGGTAAATTGAGAGCTTTGCCTTTCGGCTCAGCTCCCTCTTCACCACAACGGTCCGATACAGCGACCGCATCACTGCGCACGCTGCACCGATCCGCCTGTCAATCTCACGCTCCATCCTTCCCTCACTCGTGAACAAGACCCCGAGATACTTGAACTCCTCCACTTGAGGAAGGGCCTCTCCACCCACCTGAAGAGGGCAGGGCACCTTTTTCCGGTCGAGCACCATGGCCTCAGATTTGGAGGTGCTGATTCTCATCCCAGCCGCTTCACACTCGGCTGCAAACCGTCCCAGTGCATGTTGTAGGTCCTGGTTCGTTGGAGCCAACAGGACAACATCGTCTGCAAACAGCAGAGATGAAATCCTGTGGTCCCCGAACCGGACCCCCTCCGACCCTTGGCTGCGCCTAGAAATTCTGTCCATGAATACAGTGAACAGAACCGGTGACAAAGGGCAGCCCTGGCGGAGGCCAACGTGCACAGGGAACAGGTCTGACTTACTGCCGGCAATGCGCACGCAGCTCTGGCTCCGGTCATACAGGGACCGGACGGCCCTCAGCAGAGGACCCCGGACCCCGTACTCACGGAGGACCCCCCAAAGGACACCCCGGGGAACACGGTCGAACGCCTTCTCCAAATCCACAAAGCACATGTGGACAGGTTGGGCGAACTCCCATGAACCCTCGAGTATCCGATGGAGAGTGTAGAGCTGGTCCAGTGTTCCACGGCCGGGACGAAAACCACACTGCTCCTCCTGAATCCGAGATTCGACCATCGGCCGTAACCTCCTCTCCAGTACCTTGGAGTAAACCTTACCAGGGAGGCTGAGGAGTGTGATCCCACGATAATTGGAACACACCCTCCGGTCCCCTTTCTTGTAGAGAGAAAACCACCACCCCGGTCTGCCACTCCATTGGCACCGCCCCCGATCGCCACGCGATGTTGCAGAGACGTGTCAGCCAAGACAGTCCTACAACATCCAGAAGACTTTAGATAGTCAGGACGGATCTCATCCACTCCTGGCGCCTTGCCACCAAGGAGGCTGCCAACCACCTTGGTGACCTCTGCCAGGGTGACAGAAGTATCCGCCCCAACATCCTCAGCCTCTGCCTCCGGAGCGGAGGACGTGACGGGGGGATTGAGGAGAACCTCGAAGTATTCCTTCCACCGTCCGACAATATCCCCGGTCGAGGTCAGCAGCTCACCCCCCGCAATGTACACGGTGTTGGCAAAGAACTGCTTCCCCCTCCTGAGGCGCCGGACAGTTTGCCAGAATCTCTTCGAGGCCGACCGATAGTCATGCTCCATGGACTCTCCGAACTCCTCCCAGTCCCGGGTTTTTGCCGGCTTCAGCCTCACATCAGACGTCACCTTCACTGGATGCACTTATTTAAATTATTTCATTTTAGTTGTCCGCAGTATTTACAGTTTTTTGTCCCTGTCTCTACACCTTTTTCATTCCGAAGCTCTCATTGTCTCACCTTTTCTGTTCCAAGAGTTTTTAAAGAAGTTGGACGCAGATCATTTCTTAATAAGGCTCCATCAGACTGGAATAAACTCCCTACATCCATACGGTCCATTCTGTCTTTTGGTTTATTTAAGTTTGAATTATTTAGGTTTCTTGAAACTCCTTGTTCATGCCACTAATGTTCTGTGTTCTTGTCATTATTGTTAATAGTTTTACTTTGTCTTTTCTAAATGTTTGATTTTAGCAGAGGGGAGGAGCATTTGTTTCATTTTTTATTTTTTTTATTTAACTTGTCATTTTTAATTCTTTGTAAATTGTTGTTGTGTATGCGTGTTTGTTAATGTTTGTATTTATGTTTAGGACCCCCTCGAAAATGAGATGATTCATCTCAAGGGGTTTTCTTTAATAAACGTAAACTTAAAACACATATATGTATATTCCTGGACACCTACATCCAGATTATTATTTTCTCATAAATATAATCTTAATTTCAGATTACTTTAATTATATTTTTATTCTGAAATTCTTTGCAAGCTACTGTGACAACGCAATTTCCCTTGTTGATCCATAAAGTCTGTCTCAGCTCCTTAGAGAATAAAAACACCAACAACAAAACACCACCAGATGGAGCTGTTTCTCTGTTTATACATTACATATGATTTTTTTATGTTTGCTAAATCATTTGAAACTACCAGATTAATTTTGCTTGTTCTGATTCCAGCTGCTCGAACTGTTATAAACATTTACACGGATGCTAATGTTCAAACAAGTCCCTCCACCCCTTCTGTCTAAAATGCTCCTATTTCAAACCTGGTACGCTACGACCTCACTAAGTGTTCAGAGCAGTTATTGATTTGTAGAATTTGCATACAACTGCTGCATGTAACGTTTGAAGTTGACAAAAATAGTAAGAACATGATCTCCTACTTGTACCGCTGCATCTGCAAAAACTTTCTACTCAAGATGAAATTCCAATGTGAGTATTTCCTGAGCTGTGTGGAATGTTTGGAATGAACGACAGGACGCAGAGTTACATGAGAAATCCTTTAATTCTAATCACAAACATAGAACACATTATGAAAACACGAATTTGTACAATTTAAGTCAACGCAAACGTTTATGATGTTTCCTATGTACAGGGTCTGCGTCGAAGCCAGAGAAACAGAATACACCATGATGTATTCACACCCGATTTTATATCAGAGACCAGAGAGAGACCAAATAAACGAGAGCGAGAGAGAGCAAAGAAACGAGAGAGAGAGAGAGAGAGAGAGAGAGAGACAAGAAAACTTAATCCCAGCAGCAAATACCCATTTGGCAAAAAAAAAAAGACTACGGCTTCGATATGAGGATTATGTTTAAAAAGGAGATTTCAGTTTTAAAATGTGTCTTTGTACAATAGGATAGAAATAGAAAGTTGCGAATTTCGAAAGGCATTTGGAAACATGTCATTTTCTTCCAAATGAAGATTCTACTGCGTTCCAAAGGCCTGTGTTTAGGACGATTTTAAAGCTGGGGAACGTAACATTCAGACTAAAACAATACAACTCTATGGTATGTCCCTGGCTCCTAAACAGTTGCTTCTGTCACTCAGCCAATCAGCTCTCAGCCAAAAGAGTGGTTCGCAGGGTTCTTTCTCCAAACAATGAAATGAAGACATTATAAAACACTTACAAACTTGTGTTGTGCATGTAGAAATGCTCGGTACCCCAGCTTTAACGCTAAAAGTGGTGGAATTCTGGCACACAAACATGTCAAGTTTCGCTTGTGTCGCTTTTTTTTTTCCAAAATCAAAAACACATTTCTCCAACAAAACACAACAAACGTTTAAAAAAGCCACAAATTAACAGAATTTTGAGAAAGAAATCTAATCCCATTTCCTGCCAACAAGCCCTCTGGATCTCTCTGGATCTCTCTGGATCTCTCTGGATCTCTCTGGATCTCTCTGGATCTCTCTGGATCTCTCTGGATCTCTCTGGATCTCTCTGGATCTCTCTGGATCTCTCTTTTGCAGATGAATTGTCCCAAAGGCTTGCTGCTCGGTTCAGATCTTTGCAGATGTTTGAAGATGAACTAAAAAATTAATGCGTATAAAATAAAATACAAAGTTAATAAAAATAAAAAAGTTGTGTGGGGGAGGGGGGGAGGGGTTCACTCGATCCGGAACCCTCCCGTCTGTTCTTGATAAACTTCGATTACGTCCTCGTCCTCCATCCCCAACTGCAGAAACAGAATATGAGAAGATCAGAATGAGCAAGAGACGCCACGAGACTCTGCTACTTCTTTCTTAGCATTAATGTAGGAGGCAGACGTGTTGCTAAGGGTTTAAGTCACTGTTACTGTACTTTTTTATCTTGTTTTATTTATGTTCTTGTCTCGTCCAAACTGGGGACTTTTGCACATGTATTCTATTGTGGTTTTACTGCAAATGGCAAACAAAACTGAATCTGAAAATTATCAAAGCAGTAACAAGCTGTTGTCGTCTCTGGTTCCTCTCACGCTCATAACTCAAAAGCCTTCTAAGTATAATTCTTGTGTGTATGATATGTTCAAAATGACTGCTGTACTGCTCGTCGTCACATCCTGGTGACGGTTACCTCTTTTGGAGTTTGGTTGTCTGCGATTCTTTGTCCTTCAAACAGAAATCTTAAAGCGCTGGCCGCCACGCCCTGAGAATACAGAGACAGTTCAAACCCTGGAGTTCAGAGCAAGATTTTACACTTCTGTGATTATGCGGCTTTAGTCTCACCTGTCTCTGACTGTACGACTCCTTCAGCTTCTTTAGATGCGTCGTCATTTTCACCTTAAAGTGGATTTCACTGCTGTCCTGTCAGAGACAAACCGGGAGAGAACAGAAAGATTGAATCAGCACAGACACAAGTCAAATTTAAGGATCAGAACACGCCGTTCACAGCACTAGGGATAGGGCTGGGCGATATGGCAAAAAAAAAAAATCTCCGATTTTTTCACACCAAATCCGATTTTTTATTTTAATCGATTTATTTTTTTCTATTTAAAAACAAACTACAACTGACAAAGAAATAGATTTTCCTTTATGCAGTTTAATCTAAATCCCCATGGAGCATAAGTGTAACAGGAATTAAGCCTTTAAACATGCTTGTAAACGAGATGGCTCTGCCATTGTAAACAGTGAAAATGTAGCTTAACAGTTTTATAATAACTTCACTTACAATGACACTATGCACCTTCAAAATAACTTAAATCACACAAACAAGGCCCATCGCAAATATATCAATCCTATTAAACACATGCATTGTTTACATGAAATATCACATTTTTAAAACTGATTACTCAAAATAGAAATGTTGTAACAGTCTTTTCCAAAAGCCTCCTCGGGTTTTCATGCTTGTTCTTTCAACTGTGCCTGAGTAACTGTGCTGTAGTACAACGCTCGGTCCAGCTGGTGGCGCTAATAGTAAGTAATCTTTATTTATATACCGCCTTTTCACTGCACATCGGAGTCTCAAAGCGGTTTACAATTGTTATTTTTTTGGGAGCAGGGGTGCCAGTACAGGAGGCACATGCCAGACCTATTGTACATATTTTTAGTGGTAGGGGAAACCGGAGCACCCGGAGGAAACCTACGCAGACACGGGGAGAACATGCAAACTCCACTCAGAAAGGCCCTGGTCCAACCGGGATTCAAACCCAGGACCTTCTTGCTGAGAGGCAAGAGTGCTATCCACTCAGCCACCGTGCCGCCCAATACTAACTTCAGTGACTCCCGCATTGTGCGAGCTTCCTGTTTACATTCGGATGCTGTAGCTAACAGCTACTGTAGCAGCTACTGTAGCAGCTACTGTAGCTAACAAACAGCGGGGAACACGTTGTTTGTATCAGAGCAATGAGAGCAATGTGTGAGACGTGTCTTTCCCCAAAGTGCAGCGGCTCAGTGGGACACGAGTGTGTGCGCGCCACAAACACGGGAGTGCGCTTTGGAATAACGAGCGTGAGAGAGCGTGAAAGATGTGGTGTACGAACATAACGACCGGAGCCTGTGTGTGTGTGTGTGTGTGTGTTTTGGCGATTAAATAAAGTCTGATTCTTGAACGTTTGAAGTGTTATTGCAACAGCACCAACTGTGAGAGCGAGCATCAGGCCAGAGGGAGACTGTTAGCATTAGGTTAGCTTCAAAATGACTGCTCAACACCATAGACCCGCGGTTAGCGCGTTAGCGCTGTAGTTCTGCGCTGGAGAAAATAAAAATCTAATTTTTAAAAAAAGAAATCGCCCTAAACGTAAAACTCGAATTAATGTTTAAAATCGATTAATCGCCCAGCCCTAACTAGGGCCAAACCGTCTTTGCAGCAGCAGTGTTCCCATGATCTATGCGGCATCGACTTAAAGCAGTGACTTGAGCCCCATCCCAATTCTCACCCTAGCCCTTAATTTGTACCCTTGCCCTAGATTTTGCATGTCACGGGGGTTGTAGGGTATCCCAATACTTAGGGAGCAATGGTGAGTGCACTCACATCCTTAAAGCTGCACTAACTGACTTTGGGATTTTGAAGCCGTGGACCCGCTGGCCTCTCTCTCTCTGCTCCCCTCCCCGCACCCACGAAGCTATCGCCCCCCACACACACTCACTGTTGGGACGGAGCTAGTGTCTCCCAATATGGATAATACATGAATATGGATTTGCACGTGGATGGCGTGACCATAAGACGATAGAACCGGGAAGCGCAGAGGAATGGGACTTTCTTTTGGATGGCTGTTTCGCTAAGTAAGCAGTAACCGGTGACGAAGACACACGAAGCTTCAGGTTAGCTCCTCGGCTTGTTGTGCTAACTCAGCCGTCTGTGCTAACAGGGACCTGTAGATTTCTCACAAAAGTGGGGGCTAGTGGTCCGTTGTGATTGGTCATAATCTGCGACCCGAAACACATTCTCTTCCTTGTTTCATCAAAACTCGATCTAAAATATAATGTCACGCCAGCACAAATCTGCGCTAATTATTCTTCAAAAGGACGTATATTCCAATGCACTACATGGACATGGATAGCATTTTCGTAATGAATACGAAAATAAAGTCAGTTAGTGCAGCTTTAAAAAGGGCCTTCGCATGCACCTGAGCGCACTTATTTCCGTCTCTGAGCGCATGTGTGTTTGAGTGATACGGAGCTCACACGTACTCCATATCACTCTACCTCTACCTAGAGTGATATGGAGTACGTGACATGTACCTAATTATAGCAAATCCATCCATCCATCCATCTTCTTCCGCTTCATCCGTTGCCGGGTCGCGGGGGCAGCAGTCCAAGCAGAGACGCCCAGACCTCTAGCTCGTCTGGGGGGACCCCAAGGCGTTCCCAGGCCAGCTGAGAGACATAGTCCCTCCAGCGTGTCCTGGGTCTTCCCCGGGGCCTCCTCCCGGTGGGACGTGCCCGGAACACCTCCCCAGGAAGGCGTCCAGGAGGCATCCGGAACAGATGCCCGAGCCACCTCAACTGGTTCCTCTCGACGTGAAGAAGCAGCGGCTCTACTCCGAGCTCCTCCCGTGTGACTGAGCTCCTCACCCTGTCTCTAAGGGAGCGCCCAGCCACTCTGCGGAGGAAGCTCATTTCGACCGCTTGTATCCGCGATTATAGCAAATCTTAATATGAAATACAGTGAAAATATCTCACTTTGATAAATTTCATATGTTTCATAAAGTCTTATATGGTCATACCTTATGTATGATGAAATCAGACACATCGATATTGTATGTGACGAGGAACACTTTGCTGCGTCGATTTTCATATTGTCCCCTACATCCATGGGTGTCTCAATTCTTAGGAAGAATATCCTAGGCGTGCACTCCCCTATTGAAGGGCACTTTTCTGTTGGACCTCAGAATTGGGACAGGCCCATAAAGCAGGTTGAAAGTAGATTTAGAGTAGCAAACCAGACTTTTTCCATCCAACCAGTTTCATTGTCGTTTTCAAAGTTAGGTAACCCAGCTTTTATTTGATCATGAGCAGGAAAACATTCTATTAGATGCACAAAACTATCTAATTTAAGGCCATGCAACTTTATATTACCCTTTATAAAAAAGATCAGTAGAGCTCAGACTAGAGTTAAAGCCATGTCTTACCTGCCCTATCACTTTTAACTTGATGTATTCCCCATCTTTCTTGTCTCCTCCGTCTTGGCTGGAAGGTTTTGTTTCCTCCTGAAAGCGAAAAGCTATTGAACTAAAATGATACGTACATAACATCGTAAAAATAGCACTGATTACTTCGCTAGATGAAAATGAAATAGATGTTTTAGCAACTAGCCAGTTATCCAGACTGGTTAGCCAGATAGGGAACGTGAGCTGGGTTTAGACCGTCGTGAGACAGGTTAGTTTTACCCTACTGATGATGTGTTATTGCAATAGTAATCCTGTATGGAAACTCGTCAACATTAGACAGAAACGAGCAAATCACAGTCAAATGTATAAATCTATTTCAATTATCAATTGGGAACGAGTTTTAGCTGCTTTCTTGTCGCAATAAGCAGTTCAACATTATTTAAAAGTCAAAAGAAACTAGTGAAAGCGTGTTGCTAAGCTATTAACACAACGCTAGCCAGGCCTGATGCTAACTGCTAATAGCACAAACAACGCGAACTAACGCCAATATCTGAGTGATTATTAACTTGTACGTGTGGTAAATTTTACGTAGCGGTGCAAACGTGAAGCTTACCGTGTCTGACATTGTGTTTCCGTCTCTGTCTGTTGGGGATTTGTACAGAAAAGCGGCGACGTTAGCGGTTAGCCTGAGCTGCCCTGATGTTATGAAAAATCGACACAAACCGTAGGTGAGGTAGCGGCGACGTAGAGTCGCAGATTCGACAAAAGTTAATCTAGTAAAAGTATAATAACAATACATAAAAAAAACGTATAATGTAAAAATCAAATAATTAATATTGGCATCAGTAAAGTATTATTTTATTCAAAAACTCAACTCTCGAATCATGTACCGTTTCTATAGCAAAGTCCAAAATGTTCTGTTAAAAACAGTATATGGTTCAAACATGTCATTAAAACATGCAATACGACAGTAGCAGAATTGGGAATAGTTTATGTATTTCAAACGTTATAAAAGTTAAATACACGCACGGAAACCTTGTAGATAAATATTGATTCAACTTTATTTCAAACTTTAGGTCCAATTTAAAACAGACAGACATACAAGAAAAAAAACACGTTATACATACACAGACAGCCATAAAAGACAGATAACATGTACATATCTGGTTAGAAAATAAAACTAAAATGTTGAATGTTTCCTTTTTCTACCGGTAGAAGGGAGTGTATCCCCATGAAATGCTAAACATTCTCAAGATCGTGTTTCAAGGACAAGATTGTTATTGTTGTGTTATTACATCATTTTTACATTATTATCATTTTTTCTGGTTCATGTGATGTAGAGCAGCCCTCTCAATCTGGGGTCCTTAAGATTTCTAAAAGTTGTCATCATCGTAAAAACACTATCCACGTGAGTTATTACGTTGGATAGAACCTTTAGAATTGAATTATTTTCATGTATTCCCTACATTTGAGTTTAAACTAAAATTGTCAATTGTTATTTTCTAATAATAAGCCAAAGTGGGAAAGGTTCCTGAGAGAGAACAAATAAGCAAGCGGCGTTGAACGACCCGCACTGCACCTCACAAAAGAGGAGGTGCTGATGCACCATCTTCCTACAGCCCTGATGGGAGCGACCCTGTGTATTTTGAATGCCTATGATCAGTGATTGAGTATCTCTATTGAATAACATGGGAACTTTCACGAATCTCTGTAGAAATAACCCAAATAAACCACTTAACTTTCAAGAGATCCTTGCAAGTGATCGTTTGTTCCTTCAGCTGCCATACCTGGATGAGTCTTCTGCTGCTGGACACTTGAATGTGAGTGCGATTGTGCGACTATTTCCCTACTTAATAATAATCTATAATATTTTATTATATTATTTTTATTTTTTATTTGTATAGCACTTTTAAAACAATGTTTACAAAGCGCTGCACAGTCAGCTTGATAAGCATTAAAACAGTCATAATGCAAAGTCAAAATTATTAGATACAGATAAAGGGAAACAAAGCAGACAGAGCAAAACATAAGAAGAGAGACACAACAAAGACAACGCAGACATCAAAATACAGCATGTGAAGTTTAAAACTAACAGCTGTTTGATAAAAGTGGGTTTTAAGGAGTGATTTAAAAGAGGATACTGATGGTGCTAAACCTTATCTCCTCGGGCAGGTCGAGGACAACAACAATCTGATGTATTTAAAGTGCCTGTTTATGAATACTCACTGGCCCATCCACATAACACAAGTAAATACTTTATGTCTCTACTTCATGGCTCTACTACAGTTTTGCTTCTAGGTCTCTGTCATTCATTAGATCAGCTTTTTCCCACAGAAAAGTGATAAGGAGAAGACCACCCTCACTCAGCCAATCAGCTCTCAGCCCAAAGAGTCAAACAGTGACTCACAGGGCTCTTTCTAACAAGTATGCAAAAGATAACATGTTTTCTAATAAGATGGAAGACAGCATGCAATGGTCCGATTCTGGTTCACAACTACAAGTACCCCAGCTTTAAAATCGTGGCGCTCTTATTTTGGCATCTCTTGCTCCAGTCGTAAATGTCACTACTTGACCACATGAGTTGAGAGAAAGCAGCGAACAGCGCAGCTCTGGTCACAAACAAGGCAATACAAGTGCTTTTAAACCCGCACTTTGTATCTCCCCCGGGGTATGACAGCCGCTGCACCCCGGGGACCACGCTGCACCGCTGCCCCCTTGGATCACAGCAAGGTTTGAGGCTTTGCACCCCGGCCTGCAGTGCTTCGGTGTCTCGGGGACTCGAGTGAAGTTCGTGGGCCAAACTTGTGCGTCTTCGGCGGGGCCTGGGAGCTCTGTTCCCGGGCCTGTGGATGAAGGAGTGACGTGACGGTCTGCATCACATCCAGGTTTGTGCATTTACGTTGCTTAAATATCACTAGAATATTCAAAAACACATGTATTCTTGCTTTTACTACCGTTTGAGCAGCGTTAGCTTTAGCTTTAGCTTAGCTTGACAACTTCCCTGTATACGGAATCATTGGCCACATTGGGGACTAGAGAGCGCATCACCATGGCAACCGGTAATATTATTGTATTTATTTGACACATTTTTGCAAATAAAAAACACTTGAGAGTAAATATACTATGCACAATCATGTTAGAAGACAAAATAAAAAATGATTATGACTCGGGCTGTTTTTGACTTCAGATTGATTAACTTATTGGGGGCTTGACAAACGACCTGAACTTGCATTGTCACTATATTAGATATCAAACTCTATTTCGATATTAGAAACCATACTTAATGTTCGATACAATTTCCAAAGTTTATAAATGCTATTTTTGTACACTAAAGTTAACTCTATTTTATGGGATCAAAAGTTGTAGTTTAAAATGTATCTCACATCCTTTTTTTCTTCTAATATTTAGTATCTGTTTATACTTCAAATATATATATATAATATTTATAAATATTATTTATGTATAAATAAATCTATAATTTCAATACTAGTTCTTGCATATATTTAGTATGAGATTTTTGATACTTTTGACAATTCTAACTTGAAAGACTATAGACACAAATACCACAAAAACATTACTCGTAATGAAGCATTGATTAAGTAAAGTATTAGAATATCTTTTTTAATTTCACACTGGGGAAATGTTGGTGTTGCAGTGCACATACAGGACAGTAAAGTCCTGTTTCCACCAGCCTTATGGGGCGTACAGACCCGATCCTGCGACTTTCAATGCAAAGTCAATGATGTCGTCCGTTCGAGCATTGAACTGCATGTGCGTCTTGGCACGCACACTCTGACAGAGGCGGCGTTGCTGAAATTCAACGCAGACAGGAGAGGAACATTGTTGAACATTATCTGGAGGCCACACGTGCAGTGAACAATCGGATAACTGCAAAGTGGTCACGAGGACGGTAGCGGTCTGGCAAGCAGACTGAAGATACTCGAAGTATAATACTTGTGGGCGCTTACCCCAATCAAAGTCTTAACGATTTTGTCCACAAACTTTAGGTAACCATGGTAACCACGAAGGGGGATGTTGAAACTGTTGCACGTGTATAGTCGAACCTGGACGTTGGGTTGAGTGTTTATTTCGAGTTCAACATCAGACATTAATTATCAGATGTCACTACATAGAATTTTTTAGAAAATCATTCAATCACAATTACTTACTACGATATTGTATATTTTCTTCCTCCCACTCCTCTTTAAACTCAAAGGAGTGGGAGGAAGAAAAATCTTATACCCCACTCCTGTGAATATCATAATTTACTTTTGTGTAGTATTCGTAGTTATGTATTCGCTGTCCTCTTGAAAGTATGTTCACTAATTGGATGCTTGTTATAACAGTTTTGATACATGATAAAACAGTCCTCAAATAGATTGGTGGTCTAGATTGTGTGTAAGCTGCATCTGCTCGTTGTTTATGGACGCATTCTTTTGTAAACACAAGATGGCCGCCACTGTTACCACAGCAATATGCTCACTCGCGCTCTGGCACCAAATGCGGAATTGAAATTAGCCTCATGAAGCTAGCTGCAGTTTTTACGCGTTTTCGGACCAAAGTATGAATTTCATGAGTTAAAAAAAAATATTTACGTGAACTATGAATGTGAAAAGCACCGTATAATGTTTGCTTTGTAGTAAACGTGAGCATAAGGCTGTGGCTGTGCTGTAAATATGCGCGAACGAAGCCAAAACAACTGTCAACTCAAGGGAACTCTAGTTCAGTATAGAAATATATATATATTTTTAAGTGTTTAAAAAGCATTCAATATGATTTCATATAAAAGTAATTAAACCTCTCTATTTGTATTTCTCTAATTGTCAAGCTTTTTATGATTTGTATGGGTTTCTTTCTTCTCTATGATTGGGAAACACTGCTTTTACTGTATATTCACGTTGACAACTGCTTCATATTTAGTGGATTATGGACCTTAACGCTGGGGTACATAACAGTCATTATATCACATTTATCTGCCAAAATCCTTGCCAAAATGGTTGCAAACATCGCTAGTCTCCTGTATTTCCAGCCTCTGTCACATTTTTTGATCAGCTTTTTCTGACAGAAAAATTGATAAGAGAGGATTAAATCAAAGTGACTGTCAGTCCTGTCACTCTTTTTTACATTAACCTTCTAATATGATGTTTAAGATGTTTCGGTTTGATTTGTTTACAACATTCAATTGTTCAAGACTCTTTCTGTCAGACAAGCTACTACAAAAGAAAGTCAGGTCCCCCAGATCAATAACATGCTTATATTCAGTAATACGGAATCATACTTTGTGTATCTGTGTTTTCAGGTCAGAGTCCTGTTGATGGGAGACTCCTCTTCCCTGAGCCCTGGATCGACTGCAGCACAATGATGGGTGAGGTTCAAGCATACAATACTTCACTAAACAGCGTTCAGAAACATGAGTGAGAAATGTTATGTATAATTTCTGTTATCACCTTGGAGAGGGACCATAGAGCAGTTCGTCTTCAGAGACTCAGAGAGGGACGCAGACACAGTCACACTGTCACAGAGAAAGAGGCACACACACACACGCACACCCACACACAAAAATTCCCTCTTTATTTTTCATGGGTCTGGGCAAAAATACAAACCACCTGAGCAACCCCTTTGTGCCCTGTGAGCTAGCGATCTCTGTTGAAAACCGTTCACATATTGAGACACCTACTGCATTCACCTGCTGCATTCATGCCTAGTCTTTTATTGATAGTGAATTAAAGTAGATTTAGGACTACATTTGGTGAGGTGTCCTAAAAAACAAAATATTAATTTTATGGTCTATTCATAATTATATAATAGACTAAGAGCCTATATCTATAAATGTTATGCATTGTTTTATTTAGTCAAATGGCATAAAGCAAAACACATAGGTCTATAATTGTATAAAGATAATAATCATATGGCCATAAAACAGTTGTCTTTGAAAATACAGGCAGAAGTTATTTACGTGTGTGTTTTTGTGTGTGTGTAGATGAGCAGGAGGTGCTGAACTCCATCATGCAGGATTTGGCTGAACTGCATCGCTCCAGTCGACCGGCTATGTTCCTGAACGACCTGAAGAGCAAGACCTCCTCCCCCAAGAACCAGGTACCAGTACACTACAACCATGTACCAGTACACTACAACCATGTACCAGTACACTACAGCCATGTACCAGTACACTACAGCCATGTACCAGTACACTACAGCCATGTACCAGTGCACTACAGCCATGTACCAGTACACTACAGCCATGTACCAGTACACTACAGCCATGTACCAGTGCACTACAGCCATGTACCAGTGCACTACAGCCATGTACCAGTGCACTACAGCCATGTACCAGTGCACTACAGCCATGTACCAGTGCACTACAGCCATGTACCAGTACACTACAGCCATGTACCAGTACACTACAGCCATGTACCAGTACACTACAGCCATGTACCAGTACACTACAGCCATGTACCAGTACACTACAGCCATGTACCAGTGCACTACAGCCATGTACCAGTGCACTACAGCCATGTACCAGTGCACTACAGCCATGTACCAGTGCACTACAGCCATGTACCAGTACACTACAGCCATGTACCAGTACACTACAGCCATGTACCAGTACACTACAGCCATGTACCAGTACACTACAACCATGTACCAGTACACTACAGCCATGTACCAGTACACTACAGCCATGTACCAGTACACTACAGCCATGTACCAGTACACTACAGCCATGTACCAGTACACTACAGCCATGTACCAGTACACTACAGCCATGTACCAGTACACTACAGCCATGTACCAGTACACTACAACCATGTACCAGCACACCACAACTACTGTAGGTACCTCATTCATATCACTTTGTCTATGAAGCTCAGACATATATAAACATATTTATCTAATTCATATATAGATAGATAGATAGTTTGTAAAAAGGGAGTAAAAACAAACATAATATTTTATGGTGAAAAGAGGACAATTGATAACTTTTTTGTATTTTCCAACAGAACGACGTTCGGGTGAAGTTTGAGTTCAAAGGGGAGAGGAGGTGAGCGGTTTGAAACAGTTTTAGACATTTTCATTTTCTAATTTGATCTCCCCTTTGATCTTGTGTGTTTAGGATTTTACAGTTCCCTCGTCCGGTGAAACTGGACGAGCTTCGGGACAAAGCCAAAGTGGCTTTTGGTCAAAACATGGACCTGCACTACACTAACAACGAGGTACCGGATCAATTATATTATCATTCTGTCTCTCTAGTTGAGGTATAGCTATGATGAAAAGTGGAGAACTTGTATAGTCGGTGGCTGACTAAATGCCTCACTGTGTGTGTGTGTATACAGTACAGACCAAAAGTTTGGACACAGATTCTCATTCAATGAGTTTCCTTTGTTTCATGACTATTGACTGTAGATCCACACCAGGCTGTGTAAAGGCTATTTGACCAATAAGGAGAGTGATGGGTGCTGGGCCAGATGACCTGGCCTCCACAGTCACCGGTAGGGGTGTGACGATATATCAATTTTTCGATATATTGCGATACTTTCTCCCGCGATTCGATTATCGATATGCATTTGCCAAGTATTGATATCGATTTCAATTTTTTTTACATAAAAAAAAAAAAATAATTGGTATCAATACTTCGCCCTAGGGGGCGACAGTAGCTCAGTTGGTAGAGCATTGGCCTTAAGCCCAGAAGGTCGTGGGTTCAATTCCCACCTCTGCACCTTCTCCACCGACTCCCACTGATGACTGCTGTCGTTGTGTCCTTGGGCAAGACACTTAACCCCACTTTGCCCAAAGCCCCCACTGAAAGATCAAGGCTATGCTCACACTCAGAGAGCAGCCGTCCTCCTGTGGACTCACCACCTGCAGAGGGTCAGTGAGGGGCTGGTGCTATGAGACTTGGGTGGCATCTCTGACTGCCACCCCCCTGACCCAGAAATGGATTAAAGGGAAGAAGATGGATGGATGGATGGATGGATGGTATCAATACTTAATATATGGCTACATTACGCACCTCCATTTCATTTATCATGAAAGTGTATTTTTTCTTTTATTTATGCCATAAATTGGCATATTGTATATTTCTGACCAATATATCGATTATCGTTATCGTGATATCGTTATGGTGATAATATCGTTATTGTGATATATTGTTATCGTTATCGTGAGCTTTGTATCGTGTATCGTATCGTATCGTGAGGTACCCTTAGGTTCCCACCCCTAGTCACCGGACCTGAACCCAATCCAAATAGCTTTGAGGTGAGCTGGACCACAGAGTGAAGAGGCAACAAATGCTAAGCATCTCTGGGAACTCCTTCAAGACTTCTTAGCAAGTTTTCCCAAGTTTGGGAAAACTTGCTAAGAAGTACAGATGATGGGTGAGAAACCTTCCTTTGCTTTGACTAATCCCTGTACGACTGAGGGCTTACACAAACTCCTTCAAGACTGTTGAAGCTCATCAAGAGAATGCCATGAGTAATAATAATAATAATAATAATAATAATATAAATTACTTACCCACTTTATTAGGTACAGCTTGCTAGTACCGGGTTGGACCCCCTTTTGCCTTCAAGACTGTCTTTATCCTTCGTGGCATAGATTCAACAAGGTTCTGGACACATTCCTCAGAGTTTGGTCCATATTTGATAGCAACATGCAGTTTCTGCAGATTTGTCGGCTGCACATCCATGATGTGAATCTCCTGTTCCACTACATCGCAGAGTTGCTCTATTGGATTGAGATCTGTGACTGTGGAGGCCATTACAGTACAGTTACTTATTGTCATGTTCACAAAACCAGTCCTCTTCTTCTTCTTCTTCGTGTGCATTTCCGGCAAGCTAGACACCGCTAGGCGTATTGCTGCCTTCCACAGTCAGTCAGCGAAACTGCATCATGGGCAAATCTTCACACGAAGATTAGGGGGAAAAAACAAACTCTATCACTGCCGCAATGATCTCACACTGATTTGTTTGTGGATTCAAAAGGGTTTTCAATGACACTCTGTCAACCCGCGTTCCCAGTACAGCTTTAAACATTGGGCATTGCTTCTGCTTGTACCATACTCACATGACGAACAGTCTCTTCTTTCCTGCCGCACACACAAAGTCCATCTGGTCTCTTTCCCATAAGAGCAAGGTCTGGGGCAAACCCACAGTAAGAAACCAGTCTGTGATGATTGGAGCTTTATGACGAGGTGTTTTATCCTGCTGGAAGTAGCCATCAGAAGATTGGTACACTCTGGTATAAAGCAGGGGTGTCCAAACTGATCCAGAAAGGGCGGCTGTGGCAGCAGGTTTTCTATCAGCAGGAGCCGCCCATTTCCTCTAGTGAGTTCAGTCTTAACCTGAAGATTTGATTAAATGGGCGGAGTCTGCTTTGCTCCTGGTGGGTCCGATAGAAAACCTGCAGCCACAGCGGCCCTTTCTGGACCGGTTTGGACACCTCTGTGACCAGGCAACTTTTTCCAATCTTCTATTGTCCAATTTTGGTGAGCCTGTGCGAATTGTAGCCTCAGTTTCCTGTTTTTAGCTGAAAGGACTAGGACTGTAGCCCATCTGCCTCAAGGGTTGATGTGTTCTGTGTTTAGAGAGGCTCTTGCAGACCTTGGTTGTAACAAGTGGTTATTTGAGTTATTGTTGCCTTTCTATCAGCTCGAACCAGTCTGGCCATTCACCTCTGACTTCTGGCATCAACAAGGAATTTTCGTCCACCGAACTCCCGCTCACTGGATATTTTCTCTTTTTCTGGACCATTCTCTGTAGATAGTTGTGTGTGAAAATCTCAGTAGATCAGAAGTTTCTGAAATACTCAGACCAGGCCGTCTGGCACCAACAACCATGCCATGTTCAAAGTCACTTAAATCATTATTATTATTATTATTATTAAAAAAAAATGCACCTTTACCCTCTGTGGGCGCTTATCCCTGTCTAAGCTTGGGTCCTCTACCAGAGCCATGGGAGCTTGAGGGTTCTGCGCAGTATCTTTGCTGTTCCTGCTCTGCACATTTCTGGCCCAAGATTTCCTGGGTTGTTCTGAGGATGTGCTGTGACCACTCCTCCAGCTTTGGGGTCACTGCCCCGAGTGCATTGATCACCACGACTTTACATCGTGGTGGTAGACAAAGGGCAGAAGAAAGCCGTGGTGGTGAACGTGGCAATTCCATGCTCATTCCCCACTAGGGTTTAATATTTTTCCCGAAAATGAGACGTATTAAATCCCGGGAAAAGACGACGCCTTTCCCGGGAAATCCCGGGAAATAGCTGTTGTTTGTAGTTGTTGTTTTTAGCCCAAGTAATGTATGATATCACTCAAATATATAATCCAACAAAAGCTGCCATCTCCACTAGTGTTTCACCAAGCGACTTGCTAGCTTTTCTAAAGTAGCCATAGCGTTGCAGACGTTTTGTTGATGGGCTTTCTTCAGGAATTTTACTATTATGAGATTCTAAATGTCTGCGCAATCCACTTGTCGACCAGTGACGTGCGGTGTGGTTTGGAGGCACTGACTTCAGCCCAATCAGATGAACATATATCATATAAATCAACAGAACCTACAGAGCGGCTTATTCACAATTAGTTTGGCTACAGCAGAATGTTTTCCATGGCCCGCATTATTTGCTCAAACAAAACGCAAACATTCGTAAAAGGCACATTTCCAATTGTGTTATGGGTCTTACCTTAGTTATTAATGAACAGCACAGACCACTTCGGTTCAGACCAGTTTCATGTTTAAGTCCAGATAATAGTTTGAGCGTAGATATGTAATCCCCCATTTGGAAATAAGCCCAAAGAGTTTTAAAGCGTAAAACAAAACGGGTGCCACCTCCATAAACTCCTGTGTTTTCGCTGCAGCCGGCTCTCGGGCGCATCCAATTTCTAATATCAACCTTCTTACCCTTCTCCTCTCTTCCTTATCATTCCTATCGTCATTGGAAGCAGAACATTACCCTAAATGCATTTTATATGATCTTAAAATGTGTTATATGTATGTTAGCCAAACCTGTTGCTGCCCTTAGCAGATAGAAAAAAAGAAAGGAGCTTTCTGATAGAATTGGACGTAGCCAAATTCTGGGCTCACGTGTGCCCCGTACCCTGAGGCTGGCCTCATTACAAGTCGTGGTTTAGCGCGATTAACACCCATATTTGTTGTCAAAAACACAATTTATGAGCCATCCTCTCAGCTGTAGACATGTTGATTGTAAATGAAATATGTTTGAACTTTGAACAACAATAAACGTGCTCTATAATAGGAGCGCACTGGATTTTTTTTAAACTTTCATTTCCCGTTTCCCGTCATAACATTTCCCGGGAATCGGGAAATAGTTTTGATCAGATCCCGTGTCCCGGGATTAAACCCTATTCCCCACTACCTTTGGAGGAGTTTCCCACTTAGACCTGGGGGTTTCCAGCCCATACTCTGCACAGATGTTTCTGTACACTATGCCAGCCACTTGGTTATGGCGTTCCATGTAGGCCTTCCCTGCCAGCATCTTGCACCTTGCAGTTATGTGTTGGATCGTCTCAGGTGCCTCTTTGCAGAACTGACACCTTGGGTCTTGTCTGGTGTGGTATATCTGGGCCTCTATTGCTCTGGTGCTCAGGGCCTGCTCCTGTGCAGCCATGATGAGTGCCTCTGTGCTGTCCTGTAGGCCAGCCCTTTCTAGCCATTGGTAGGACTTCTTGAGCTCAGCCACTTCTGTTATGCTCCAGTGGTACATGCCGTGTAGGGGCTTGTCCTCCCATGATGGGCTCTCCTCCATCACCTCCTCATCTCGCCACTGTCTGAGACACTGAGTAAGTCATTCGTTTTGGCCTTCTCCATGATGTAGTTTTGGAGTTTGGATGTTTCGCCCTGGACAGTGGCTCTCACTCACTAGTCCTTGGCCTTCTTTATTACGGCCTACGTACAGTCTCAGGGTTTGGGATGGAACCCGCCATGCATGGTGAGGAGCTTTCGCGTTTTAACTTCTGTGGTCCTACCACCACAATCACTGAAACCAATGAGCTGGTATAGATATATATGTATACAGTACAGACCAAAGTATGTACATAATTCCACATGAGTTAATTCATAGTTTTGATGCCTTCAGTGTGAATCTACAATTTTCACAATTATGAAAATAAAATAGAATAAAATAGTTTTTGAATGAGAAGGTCAACTTTTGGTCTGTATTGTATATAGATACAAAGATATAATGAAATATCGACATAATGAAATGAGATTTGAAGATTACATTTATTTATAATGATATTTACCCGTGGGTGTTGTCGAGTACCGAGCCTCTCGAGTATATCTCCTCCAGCACATCCCAGGACACCCGTTCCATGTGCATTGATGCTTTTCTTTAGTCTCTTGTTTTGAACTTCCAGTGTTTGCGATTTGGGATTGAGACCCTGATAACTGGTTTAGTTTGAGTCAGTCCTTGTGTGAGATGTGATTTCTTCTAGTGCCGCTGCTGTACTGTGGTTCTTGTTTTTCAGTTGGTGATTCCACTGTCGACGCAGGACGATCTGGACAAAGCTGTGGAGCTGCTGGACAGAAGTTTTCATATGAAGAGCCTGAAGATCCTCTTGGTGCTGCAGACCAACTCCCAGGTCCGAGTCAGGGACTAAATCTGTTCACACGGGTGTCGCACTATGAATCTATTTTAAAATAACTACTTCTGTAACTACTATAACTGTTACCTTTTAATTTAAGTCCCAAGAAATCTTTGTGGCTCATCCGGGTATTTCTCGCTCTGGTCTTGCTCTGGTCTCTCTCTGGTCTCTCTCAGCTGTCTCTCTCTCTGGTCACGCTCTTTCTGGTATCTCTTTCTCTGGTGTCTCTCTGGGATGTTTCTGGTCTCTCTTTCTCTCTCTGGTATTTACTCTCTGGTCTCTCGCTCTTTGTTCTCTCTCTCATTTCTGATGTGTGTCTCCTGGTTTGTCCAGAGTTCTCTGTCAAACAGGGAGCTGCTGCCGTCTCATGAGGAACTGGACAACACAGGCTTCGCTCTGATCGGTGAGAAGTGTTTGTGTTTCCCAGGTGTTTCCGAGGGGTTTCAGAGAGGACCCGACAGAGGACCCGACAGAGGACCCGACAGAGGACCCGACAGAGGACCCGACAGAGGACCCGACAGAGGACCCGACAGAGGACCCGACAGAGGACCCGACAGAGGACCCGACAGAGGACCCGACAGTACTTGGAGAGGGATTGGGAGTCAGGAGAACTTCTTGAGCGTACTGGGTGCAGCTGTTGTTGGTGTTGGACCTCAGTCTGGACTGTTCCTCTATGTCTCTCTCTGACTTCTGACCTTTCAGGGTCTCAGTCCGACCGCTCCTCGCCGCCTCCAGGCTACATCCCCGACGCCTTGCAGCACGTGGCCCGAAACGGCTCCTTCACCAGCATCATCAGTGAAGGAGAGTTCATCCCAGAGAGCATGGACCAGGTCTGGATCCGGTTAAATCCTCCTTTAGACCTGCTTTAGTCTCTGCTATAGACCTGCTTTAGAATACATCTATTCAACATGAATAACATGAAACCCTGTGAGCCACTATTTGACACTGATTGGCCGAGTGACGGTGGTCCTCTCTCTTTCACTTTTCTCAGGCCAAAATAATATGTATGTGAAAACTAGTGACACAGGCTTACTGTTTTAGAGCCAAGAAATGTGATTAGATTTCTATTGTTGTGGTTTGAAATTTAAGTACGCACCCCAGCTTTAAGGGTCAGTCCAGATATTGTAAGTTTGTTTTGTTGTAGATGTTGGACCCTTTGTCGATGAGCAGTCCAGAGAACTCGGCGTCTGGGAGCTGTCCGTCTCTCGACAGTCCTCTCGACAGGTCACTACTCTCTGATGTATGACAACTTTGACAAACATCGTCTTAAACTTGTTCATTTCCTTCACAGCGATTATCCAAAGTCCAGGATGCCCCGAGCGCAGAGCTATCCAGACAACCACCAGGATTTCCCAGGTGAGCCAGTTCAAGCATTTCCTCAAATCTTCAGGTTAAAACTAGACTCACCTGAGGAAATGGCTGGAGTCATCTGTGCTCCTGCTCAGTTTGGAATTGTTGGAAGTAAAACCTGCAGCCACATGGCCCTTTCTGGAACCGGTTTGAGACCCCTGTTTTAAAAGATGCTGGTGTGTACAGAAGTCCCTATGCTGTTGTCTCGTCTGATCAGTAGAACACGTGTGTCACTCCCTCTTTCCTCGTTTCTGACTCACTGGAATGTGGACACAGCTAAAGTTATTTTGACAGATCCGCAAAGTTTTCTCCAAAGGCCCCCGCTGTGCACTTAGCCTGATGACGACCTGGTAATAACGAGCGTATGACTTGCAGAGTACGACATCCCCGTGTTCGAGAAGTCAGGGAAAGGAGGAACGTACCCGCGGCGCTACGGGGTTCCATTCAGCCCACAAGACTACAGCGATGGTGAGTGCAGTCAAACAGCTCCACTTACCTCCACTCACTCATTTCAGTCATATCCAGTTAAAACAGCTTCTAGATACATACATAAAAGATTCATCTCAGCAATTAGATTCCGTAGATTTAACATACAGGTGAGAAAAAATATATAATACATTACAAGCACAGGGGACAGTTGTAGAGTACACGGTAAAACACACTAATTATGAGTACACTGCTTTATCTGCTTTCCTTCCGTTTTGACCAGTTCAAACAGCTCCTCTATCACACTAAAAAGCACCAATGTGGGGTTCCACAAGGGTTGATTTTGGGGCCAATTCTATTCATTTTAGCCGCGTTTCCACCGCAGGAGTTCCTGGTAAAAGGAGCGGGGTGGAACTTTTACAGGAACCTTCCTCTCCCTCGGTCCTCTCCCTCGGTCCTCTCAGTGTCCGTGTCTCCACTGCAGTAGGACCACTTGGCGACGTCATGAGTTTCGATTGCTGCATAAGCGAAACTCATGCTAAACCCATTTGTTTATTTTACAGTCGTAACTGCTCCGGTTGTTGTGGTCTTCGAGTTTTTATATAGTCCTGCTTCAGTTTTTAAAAACTTTTCACGGCTTGTTTTGGAGTGTGATGAATCCCCAGTGGTGATGAAGCTGATATGTCTTAATTTATCTTTTCATTTTGCCACGATGCCTCAAACCCCGTCTGAGTCAATGCCGTGCTGTTGTTTGCTGTCTTCAGTGGTGTCTGCCAGGCTAATGCTTCTGAATGCCGGTTATTTTGGTGCTTTGCTGGTGTCAGAGCCTGCGCTAGCTTTAACCAATCAGCGTCGGGTTAACCTCAAGTCCCACCAGGGCCCAACGGAGTACCGAGCATGAAGGAGGGACTCCGTTGGGCCCCGTAAAAGTTCCTGTAAATGACCCTGTGGGGGAAGTTTCTGCAGTGGAGACATGCTCCGACGGGGCTGGCCCTGGAAAATTACCCCGAAGTTCCTGCGGTGGAAAGGCGGCTATTGTTGTAAAGGAACCAGTTCAAACAGCTGCTATCTCTGCTTCAGGCCGTAAGACGTTCCCGCGAGCCCGCCGCTCTCAGGTTCATGGCTTCAGGTCTCCCGTCAGCTTCAGTCCCACAGACCAGTCCCCGAGCACCAGCAGCGGCAGCAGTGTGTTCAGTCCAGACGCAGAGGACTGTGCTTCCCGCAGGACGCCCAGAGGAAGTGACGTGGAGCCCAACCCAAGCTCCGCCCCCACGCTGTCAGTCATGGACATCAGCCCGCCCAGCCGCTGTGAGTGGACCAATGACAATAGGTCTGAGGGGTTTGTTTAGCCCCAGGTCCAGAGACTTTTGTAAGCCTTTCAAATGATTGTGTTGTGCGTGTGTCTCTCTCAGCTCCTCGTGCTCCCACAAACTGGCGTCTGGGGAAGCTGCTAGGGCAAGGCGCCTTCGGGAGGGTGTATCTGTGCTATGACGCAGATACAGGGAGAGAGCTGGCAGTGAAGCAGGTGCAGTTCGACCCAGACAGCCCCGAGACCAGCAAGGTCCGATAAGTGAATATACTGTATATACACTCATACTACAGTCCAGGTCTCTCTACTCTTCTTTGAACATCTCTCCCCCCCCTCTGCAGGAGGTGGGAGCTCTGGAGTGTGAGATCCAGCTGCTGAAGAACCTGTGTCATGAGAGGATCGTCCAGTACTACGGCTGTCTGCGGGACACGATGGAGCGAACTCTGTCTATCTTCATGGAGTACATGCCAGGGGTCAGTGTCCCCCGCCTCAGTCTGTCCCCTAACAGGACCACAGACCAGGGTTGTCAAAGGGCTGGAGTGAGTAGGTTAGAACTAAAACCTGCCACACTGGCCCTCTCCAGGACCTAGCTCTAGTTCCTGGTTTACTTCTATCACTAGAAAAGGGGAAAAAGAGTGGATCACCCTCACTCAGCCAATGAGCTCTCAGCTCAAACACCAAAATGGTGACTCTCAGGGTTCTTTCAAACCTCAACACAGAAAGACCTGGAGGAGAAATCAAATCCAGGACCTTGTAACTGTGAAGCACACGAGCTAACCACTGCATCACTGGCCCCCTGGATTCATAACATTTTACTTTTTACTCTTTCTGTCAAACAAGGAATGTGTTATTCATGAGACTAAAGTTGCGTTCCCCAGCTTTAAAGTGATATTCTGGAACTCTAAATGAATTACAAATTTTAAGAATTGTATTAAATTGATTTCCTGGGCTTAAATGTTGATATAGAATAAGTAATTTTATGAATTATAATATTACGGGAAAGTCCCGCCTTCCCTTCTCTTACCTACAGCTCAAAATCCACAATGCCGTCCACGTTAACCAATCAAGTGATGCCAAGGGCTGTCAATCATGCGCTCGTGCTTGTATATTATTAAAATATTAAATATATATGTATAATCTATATATGACAGCCCTTAATATTCGAAGTTGCAAGGGGCGTATCTCTTTTAAATAATATATATAAAATAGTTGGTTCCCAAAGGTTTTGCCGTGACGTGGCTAGACTGGTAACAGCTAGGCTAGCTAACTAACTGGAACTCTGGAACTACATGAAAAGTGAAAAAGAATTCTGAACATCAGCATTGAGTGATCCAATAAAAAACGTAACCTAAATGTTCCTAAAATGTTCTACTAAAGTGATGGTTCCTTCCGGGTTTACCCCGATCGCTTTTTGACTCATTAAAACAGTATTTTTGTCATGAAAACATGAACAGATAATTTTGAAAACCTCTGTGCAGGTGTGTTAAGAATGTGTGTATATACAGTGCCTTGCGAAAGTATTCGGCCCCCTTCAACCTTTCAACATTTTGCCACATTTCAGGCTTCAAACATAAAGATATAAAAAATGTTGTCATGAATCAAAAACAAGTGGGACACAATCGTGAAGTGGAACAAAATTTATTGGATAATTTAAACTTTTTTAACAAATAAAAAAAGTGGGGCGTGCAATATTATTCGGCCCCTTTACTTTCAGTGCAGCAAACTCACTCCAGAAGTTCAGTGAGGATCTTTGAATGATCCAATGTTGTCCTAAATGACTGATGATGATAAATAGAATGCCCCTGTGTGTAATCAAGTCTCTGTATAAATGCACCTGCTCTTTGATAGTCTCAGGGTTCTGTTTAAAGCGCAGAGAGAACCATGAAGACAAAGGAACACACCAGGCAGGTCCGAGATACTGTTGTGGAGAAGTTTAAAGCCGGATTTGGATACAAAAAGATTTCCCAAGCTTTAAACATCTCAAGGAGCACTGTGCAAGCAATTATATTGAAATGGAAGGAGTATCAGACCACTGCAAATCTACCAAGACCCGGCCGTCCCTCCAAACTTTCATCTCAAACAAACATATATATATATATATATATATATATATATATATATATATATATATAATTACAGTATTCTCTGAATAACATTCAAATGTGTTGATTGATATTTGTGTTATTGAGCGTGGCTAGCTCCGATAGCTTCTCTCGCTCAGAAAGAAGTAAGTGACAGGCGCTGAAAGCTCGTTGTGACTAAGTGTACAAACTACTGTCGGAGTAATCTTAGTATTTTACACACCTGAAGTACAAGCACCAAGGGCAGTGGTCATTATTGGTTTGAGAGGTCCATTATCAAGAAATAATGATCAAGTGAACGTTTTGAAATTAGATTAAAATCAATGGAGCGTTTTACTGCTGCTGTGAGGAGCTGTATAATAAATTATGATTGAATATTTAAATTAATAATCTCTCCTCCACATGTCTTGGCCATAAGTCTTAGACCATTGACCTGGCGCATGCACGGAAATGTAGGCGCGGCTTCAAGATCAGAAAGGAAGGGGGAAGGAGCTTGGGTTGTTGTTTTCAAATCATGTACCTCTCTTTTTCTGACAAACTCCAGACTATCACTTTAATGTCAGTCTCTGACACACCCTTCAATCCTGATGCTGTTCTTCTGTACCAGGGGTCGATAAAGGACCAGCTGAAGGCGTACGGAGCTCTGACAGAGAACGTGACGCGCCGATACACGCGCCAGATCTTGGAGGGCGTGTCTTATCTCCATAGCAACATGATCGTGCACCGTGACATCAAAGGTGAGGGAACACACACTCGCAACACACACATACTGAGGTCAGACCGGAAAACACAGAAAACCTACATCGATGACAAACATGGCGGATGACAAGGAGGCTGCGCTGGTCTCTCTGGTCTCTTTCTGTGGTCTCGCTCTTGTCTCTTTCTGTGGTCTCGCTCTTGTCTCTTTCTCTGGTCTTGCTCTTGTCTTTTTCTGTGGTCACTTGTCTCTGTCTTTGTCTCTCTGTCCTCAGGGGGTGGTTCTGGGACTGTCTCCTTGTCCTCCTCTGGTTGTCCTTTGTCTCTGGTTTGTGAAGTGCGTTTCTGGTTTCAGGAGCGAATATTTTGCGAGACTCTGTGGGGAACGTGAAGCTGGGAGACTTCGGAGCGAGTCGCCGCCTCCAGACCATCTGTCTCTCAGGGACAGGCATGAAGTCTGTGACAGGGACGCCGTACTGGATGAGTCCTGAGGTCATCAGCGGAGAGGGCTACGGCCGCAAAGCTGACATCTGGTACCAGCACCACCTGACGTTTGTGTTCGGACCAGAGACTATGGACTCGAGGACAGTGTCTCTCCGTCCTCTTGTCTCTGTTCTCTCGTCTCTGTCCGCTTGTCTCACTGTCCTCTTCTTCACAGGAGTGTGGGCTGTACTGTGGTGGAGATGCTGACACAGCGTCCCCCGTGGGCAGAGTTCGAGGCGATGGCGGCCATCTTTAAAATTGCCACTCAGCCGACAAACCCCGTGCTGCCGGCGCACGTGTCGGATCACTGCCGCGAGTTCCTGCGCCGCATCTTTGTGGAGACCAAACAGCGGCCGAGTGCCGACGAGCTGCTGCGACACTTCTTTGTACATTAGCCTCCGTGGCGCCCCCTTTGGACCAGGAGGAGCCATTGTCAGGCCTGTCGCAATCACAACTGCGCAAATTATAAAAAAAACATTTAAACAATAACAACAGCTTATCTCTCTCTCTGGTCTCTCTCTCTGGTCTCTTTTTCTGGTCCCTCTCACTCTGGTCCCTTTTTCTCTGATCTCTCCCTGGTCTCTTTCTCTGGTTTCAAACAGCTCACATTATACTCGCGTCCAAACGTCACGTGTCAAAAACATTTGAACCTGATGTCCAATATGGGTTTTTAGTTTCCCCAGTTTGAGTCAGCTGATTGCGACAGGCCCGTCTCCCTCGTCCCTCCCTTCCTCGTCTCCCCCGTCTCTGAGACCGCCATAGAGAAGACATTTTCTTATTTTCAACGTTCTTGCACCTTACTTTTTGACCTGGGACTTTTCCAGTTTGAAACGAGAGAACCTCCTCAATATTCGTTTTCGCTCTCGTTCTGAATTCATGAATGTAAACTCCTCCGAAAACAAACCGCCGATAGCTGCTAACGAGGAGGAGGCGGCCGGAACATAACGTGAGGCTCCAGACCGATGTTTGACGTGCGGAAAAGAAGATTGGTACGTTTGGATACATGCTTATGTCTGAACAGGCCCAGAGCACTCCCCTAGAAATCCAAATCACTGTTGTAACTTTACTTTTAAAGGATGTGAGACCAGAGCTGGCTTTGGCTCACAGAGGGGAACTACCACGCTCAGTTTTTAATCCATGGGACGTAACTTTCAAACCACAAATACTAGAACTCTGTAATAAATCCAAGTCTTAAGTTCTTGGCTCTAACACAGTTTGCTTTTATCACTGGTTTTATGTATGCTTGGCCTCGGTCTCAGACATAAAAGTGAGAAAGAGAGGACCACCCTCACTCAGCCAATCAGCTATCGGCCCAGAGTCAAACAGTGGCTCACAGGGCTCTCAGTTACACATAAGATAGCATGTTTTCTGTGATAAATGTAAACTGTTTTAGAGCCAGGCACTCAAGACATCGTTTTGGTTTTAGAATTGGGTCTCCATTACCTGTCACACCGAACAGTAATGAAAGAATAATGTGTAATCTTTTTAAACTCCTCAAAAATGTTAAACGTGGTCGGCCATCTGGGATCCTCCTCCGGTTCTTGTCACACATCCACGTCTTCCTGTTTCTCATTCTTTGTGCCTTTCTTCTATTATTTCAAACACAGTAACAAAGAAAGATGTTTAATGTTTTTTTTTTGTTTCAATCAATGACTGCCTTTTCACCATTCTGCCCGGCAACAGCCCGGCAACAGTTCTTGCCTTCACCGCTAAACAAACCAGTAACTTTGCCTTTTTGTACGTGGAAGATCGCTTCACATATTGCGGATTTCGAAACTCAATTCACATTTTTATTGAGGCAAAGACAAAAAGAAACTATATGAATTTCATCAAAACCTAAAAATTATGACAGGATCTGAAAATATGTTGAGTTACAAAAAAAATTATATTGTTTTAATGATTCATTCATTAATTTCTCTATTTCTCTTGCAGTTTTTAAAAATCCTCTCTATTGCTTTTATATAGATATACTTTATTGATCCCTGTAGGAGAAATTCATGTGTCCAGTAGCAGCAAAAACACACATCCATCTATACAAACAAAACAAATTCCATTACTCTAAAAAGCTAACAATAGTAATAATAAAATGCATATATGTATGTGTATATAAAGTTAATTTCCCAATCTGCTGACCGAGCGATCTTCCACACGTCCGTCTCACTGGACACTGGAAGCTGATTGGCCACATTACTCTGGCTGCTTGATGCTTTCGTCCAAAAAGAACCCGGTTTTGAATAAACTAAAAACTCTAGACTGTTCAAACCACTGCCTTTGTGACGCAGGGCTGGGCAAACTACAACTACTTTCAACTACTATCATATCAATGTTCTCATAAAGCTGTTAAGAAGTGTGAGTGGCAGGAATTGTGGGTAGAGAGGGAAGTCTGGGCGTCTCTGCTCGGACTGCTGTTGATGGATATAGTATTCTTATACTACCAAAAGAAAAAGTAATATCTTCCAAATACAGCTACTCTAAAATTGTATTCTGATGCCGAGCAATAATGGAAGATGGAGAACAGAGAGGAACTAGGTCCAACTCTGAAGTTATACAGTAAATTGGTGCCACTTATAGTTCCACTTTTAGACTAGATTCATTAATCCGGTATGTACTTAGTTAATTTGATATTTATCAATGATTCACCCGGTTCCAGCTTGCCCAGCCCCAATGTCTCTCCACTAATGTACTAAAACCACTCCAAAAGACAAAACGCTCATTTTTTTTTTTTTAAACTATGCATCACTTTCTCACATTCACAAAACTCGATTGAGATTTTAAACGCAGAGAATGGCGCCCTCTGTTGGCACTGGCGAATCTCTATATTCCTCCACTTTCCTTTTGCACATGTCATGTTGTATTTCTTTTAGTACAATTGTGTTGTTGACTTTGGAATCCAACAGCAAAACACTTATTTTTGGTGAAATCTCGCCTTTTCTTACAATACTGTCCTGGTAAAATACGGATATTTGAATGTATAGTGTTAATTTCACCGTAAAATTGCCTGACTCTGAAGATTGCCATGAAAAAACTGTTTGGTTAAGTTCTCAAGTGTTGATTTTTGTTGTGCGTGAAAGTGTCAAAGACTGCTTCAAAAAGACATGGGACTACAGTAAACAAACTGGGACTAGCAGCTAAGGTCATAAAAATAAGACATACAGAACAAAAATATGCAGACACTGGTCCAAACAACACGCCAGCTTTTCCCACAGTCATCCTGGATCTCAAATCTGTATCACAATTGCATGATACTTGTAGGACCATAAAAATATTGACTTTGTAAAATCAAATATGAGCCCTCACTGACCTGATTGGCTGTTTGGTTGCTAGGTTGTTACTATCTCTAAATTTGGGTCCAGATTCCAGGATAAGTTAAAAGGTCATCTGTTTTTGAAGCGGTCTCTGCCGTGTGTTTGTGTTTCGACTGTATGAAAATAATAGTTGCGAGAATTTTAAGAAATGGTCTGTACAGATGTAAAAAGACAAATTGTACCCTCTTTTGTTTTTTAAAGAAAAGTATAGATCCGATGTTGTGTCTTGTACGAGAAGCCATTTCTAATTCAGATTGGTTTGTGACCAACGCACCTGTTTATATGATCTGTATATCAGTGGTACGCATAATTTTTTAATATATATTTTTTATTTTATTTTTAAGACAGGAGATTTATGCACGACGTGATGCGGCTGTGCTTTTGGACAGTTTATTGCTGTTTTTTTTTTTCCTTTTGGCAGATGTCTAGTGGAGCGATGTGTCCAAATGACGATTATGATGGAAACAATAAATATATTTATTTGAAATGTGTTTCTGGTTTGACATTAGAGGATTTCTAATAGTTTGTGTCAGCATGCTCCAAAGAACGATAGTTTTACATTGTGGCGGAGCACAGCTGACACGTCTTTCCTGGTCATTTACAGGTGAAAAGTCAGATACTAGGCTATGGAGCTATGATTGTTTCAATAAGATTTGTGCGTTTGTAACCAGATTTGTGTGTGCGTAAAATATGTGTGTAAAATTATTTGTGCGTGTGTATCCAGATTTGTGAGTGTGTAAAAAGACACACACAAATCTGGATATGCACACACACTAAACTTTTGGGGAAAAATGTGTGTAATACAAGACACACAGTGCGTAGCACTTAGGCTTTTTTCCGTTCTTCTTTTCTTACAACGTTATTTACATACAGATTGTTCTGTTACGGATACAAATGTCAAATTACACACACACAAATCTGGGTACACACACACACACAGTCCAAGTTACACTTGTGAATCTGCGAAGGCAATACTGTGTCAAAAGATCTGTGTGCAAAAAGACTGTTAAACGTACAATTTTGTTTTTTTTTACGCACACACAAATCTATTTACACAAGCAAAATATGTACACAAATCTGGATACGCACACATAAATGATTTTATGCACACACAAATATCATTGGAACAATAAAACTTCCATAATAGTCTATGTTTCTTGCAAAAATATCTGTATTTCCTAGAACAAGCGTGTTGTGGGGCAATTTATTTAGAAAAAAAACTTTTATAAGACACTTTCTGTTGGACAAAAGACGTGTTTAAGAAGTACAAAAGTCCTGCAGCTTTGATAGTGTAAAGCTAGCTACAGTTGGCCACGTTAACATTGTTCGGTTTGTCCCAATGGGACACTACTAGTTTTGCTGACAGAAATCGCTACATTAGTCTTTTAGCTAGCCTGTAAACGGTGGGATTCTAATGTCCCTCAATTATCAAGATAAGGCTCTAAATCTTGATTTATTTACATTTAATTTTTGTCCCTACTGAAAAAATTCCCATGTATATGCTATTGTACATCCATTATAGTTTCATATACACTTCCCTTTGTTTTTCATCCCCGCCTTCACTGTTAGACCTACCTGAACACTCTGCAGGGCTAATAAAATCGGCCATGAAGACTATTCCTCTCACACCCATATTAGCTCGATCTAGAGTCCTGTCCAACATGCTAAACCACTCCCCATATGTACCTCCAAAACCACCTAGGGTTTCCAATTCACCTACAAAAACCACCTCAGCCAGTCCCTCCCCTAACCTCATGACCATTCCACCCCCACTTCCCCCTCGTTCAACATCCAAAACCTCTGCCTCAGCCCACCCCTGCCCTAACCCATCACCTAAAACCCCTCCACCTCCCTGCCCCCCTCGTTCAACACCCAAAAGCCACCCACCTCTCCATCCTCCTCCCCTGCCTTCCCATTCCCCTCTTTTTTATCTAAACACTAGGATGCACAGGGTCTCTGCTTCGCAGCCACTGGCAGTCTAGTTAGAGGAGAGACCCGGCTGGGGCCCTGTCATGAAGCCACCTGTGCCATTCCCTTAGTGATAACACAAAGAATACATTACAGAAAAACATCTGGAGTTAATCAGTCTAATCTGGAAAATCTAATTCTTGTTCCGTGTAAGAATCAGCCGACCGCAACCGCTGATACTGAAACTTTGAAACTTGCTACGCTTAATGTCAGATCTCTTTGTAACAAGTCTTTTTTAATCAATAATTTTATTTGTTCTCATAATCTTGATCTTATGTTCATGGCTGAAACTTGGCTTGACCAAAATTCAGAAAATGCAGTTTTAATAGAAGCATCACCACCAAATTTCAAGTTTGAATCTGAAATACGGGAAAACAAAAAAGGAGGAGGCTTAGCTGCCACTTTGTCTCCACTTTGTCCCATAGAATGTCTCTTGGGAAGTTTTCCATATGTGAATGTCTCTTGGGTCACAATAATTTTCGCTTTCATTATGAATATGTGTCTTTTGGAAAATACAACAAAAACAATCTCACTCCTCCAATACTCTTCATTGTCCTATGACATGTGTTTCACTAACAAACCACAGTGGGACACGCATAAATGAAAATACGAGTGAACTATTTATGTGGGAATGATAAACTTTGAGAATGCATCGTATTCTACTGTAGATGAACTGTTTAACTCTGTCACCTCTAGTGTTTTGAATGTTCTGGACACCATCGCTCCTGTGAAGGCAATGGAGTTTGCAACATTTTTCAATGACAAGGTTCAAGGCATCAAAAACGCCATTGTCTCCAATCCACCGATAACCATCCAACAGCCAGAAAGGCTCTCTGAGCTAACTCACTTTGCACCTGTAAATGATAAAACTGTCCAAGAGATAATCTCCAGTTGAGCTCCTCCACATGCAGCTTGGATGTACTACCACTAGATTTCTGAAGTCTGTTCTGAGCAGTCTGTTACCTTCACTCACACAGATAGTAAACATGTCCCTTCATTCTGGAATATTCCCAAAGGCCCTGAAAACTGCAGTCATCAGCCCCTGCTAAAAAAAAGAGCAGTCTCGATGCTACGGTACTTAACAACTATCGTCCCATCGTCAAATCTGCCATTTATGGGGAAAGTCCTTGAGAAAGTTGTCTACCTACAGCTACTAGATTTCTTATAATCAACAACTCATTTGATATGTTTCAGTCCGGCTTTAGACCCCACCACAGCACTGAGACTGCTGCTCCGTTAAGGTTACCAACGATATCCGGCTGAACACTGACGCAGGCAAAGTCTCAATCTTAATCTTGTTAGATCTAAGTGCTGCCTTTGACACCGTCGACCATGAGATCCTCTTACAGAGACTAGAGGACTGGGTTGGCGTCGCTGGCACCGCCCTAAGTTGGTTTAGGTCTTACCTTGAAGACAGGAAGTACTTTGTGGAGATTGGAAACTGTGTCACAGATCATATGGCCCTGACCTGTGGAGTCCCACAGGGGTCGATCCTGGGACCTCTTCTGTTCAATCTCTACATGCTGCCGTTAGGTCAGTTAATACCAGAAACAAAGTTTCCTATCATAACTATGCAGACGACACTCAGATCTAATGTCTCACTGACTGCAGGAGAACATGGACCAGTGGACTCACTCCTTCACTGTATCCAACAGATCAGTGAGTGGATGCAAAACAACTTCCTTCAGCTAAACGCAGACAAAACTGAAATGATTGTCTTTGGTCCCCAGAAACAAAGAGAGAGCGTCATCTGTCACCTACATTGGTCTCTCTCCCTAAAACCTCAAACAAGGTCAGAAATCTAGGGTAATACTGGACTCAGACTTAAATTTTAATAGCCACATCAAATCAAGTAACATCAGCAGCTTTTTACCATCTAAAAAACATTGCCAGGATCAAAAACATAGTGTCTAAGCAGACCTGGAGATTCTTATCCATGCATTTGTCTCCAGTAGGTTAGACTACTGCAAAGGCCTGCTCACAGGTCTGTCCAAACAGGCTGTAAAAAACAGCTGCAGTACATTCAAAATGCAGCAGCTCGAGTCCTGACTAAGAACCAGAAGTACGACCACATTAGTCCAGTCTCAGGTCTCTGCACTGGCTTCCTGTGGCTCAGAGAAATAGACTTTAAAACAGCTCTGCTTGTGTACAAGTACTCTCCATGGCCTCGCACCAAAATATATATAGTGACAAGTTAGTCCCATATGAACCAGCCCGGACTCTGAGGAAGCACAGGGACTGGACTCCTGTTAGTGCCCGAGTCAGAACTAAACATGGGGAGGCTGCTTTTCAGATTCATGCTGCTAAAATCTGGAACAGTCTTCCTGAAGATGTGAGACAGGCCTCCTCTCTGACAATGTTTAAAACCAGGTTAAAGACAGGTCTGTTTAACTGTGCATACAACTGAGGGATTTTATATTTTTATCTTTCTTTTTAATGTTCTGTGATAATTTATGATTTTAATGCTTTCTTGTTTTGTTCAGCACTTTGAATTGCCTTAGTGTAAGACATATCTATATCTAAATGTTATATCTATATCTTAAATATCTATATCTATATCTAAATGTTAAATCTAAATATTATATCTATATCTAAATGTTATATCTATATCTAAATGTTAAATCTAAATGTTAAATCTAAATGTTAAATCTAAATGTTAAATCTAAATGTTATATCTATATCTAAATGTTATATCTATATCTAAATATTATATCTATATCTAAATGTTATAATCTATATCTAAATGTTAAATCTATATCTAAATGTTTAAATCTAAATGTTAAATCTAAATGTTAAATCTAAATGTTAAATCTAAATGTTAAAATCTAAATGTGTCGCCAAGTGTAAAGCCTAAATATATACGAAACCACGCCCACTGCAGTGGCTTCAAATCCAGTGGGCCCGCCTTCCGTGCCGTGTGGTGAGAACCCTACAGGATTACACAGGAATCTCACGGGACTCCACGTGGCTTAGTTTACAGTGAATACACTCTGGCTCCAGCAAATAAGCAAGAATCTTCACAAAAATGCTAATTTTGTGCCGTGGCCAAGGACGATGGCGCCGGAGACCCAACATGCCTTGAGCCGTGACGTCGGTCCACGTGTATTCCTATGTTCAAAAACACGCGGCACCGCCCCCACTCACCACACGGCACGGAAGGCGGGCCCACTGGATTTGAAGCCACTGCAGTGGGCGTGGTTTCTATATATTTAGCTTTACACTTGGCGACACATTTAGATTTAACATTTAGATTTAACATTTAGATTTAACGATTTAGATTTAACATTTAGATTTAACATTTAGATATAACATTTAGATATAGATATAATATTTAGATATAACATTTAACATTTAGATATAGATATAATATTTAGATATAGATATGTCTTAAATGTGAGGAAAATGTGCTAAATGTGAGGAAAGTGAGCTAAATGTAGAAAAATGTTCAGCTAAAAAATTTTAACAGAATTTTTACAAACGGCACCCCATAATGAACATTTGGACAGAAGGGGGGGGGGGGACGGTGCCTGATTATCTGCACCAATGTAAACTTCATGCAGATATGAATCGGTATTTTGAAAGGATTTAGGGGAAAAAAATAGAAAAACACCTATAATGTACGAATAAAGGGTGGTGACCTGCTTTTTATATATGAAACAATGTTGAACTAACTTCTTTTTCCCACAAAAAAATATCAAACAATAAAAATATGGTGAAATGTTTGTTGGACGTTGTCTCAAATCCGAACATCGTCGAACTGGAAGGCTGCGTTTGTCTTTGCCTCGTCGTTCCCACCGTGCTCCGTCTTCTGCAAGCTTGTAGGAAAAATTTTATGATCGCCGTGACAACCAGCAGGCCACACCCACGAGACCTACCCACACGGCCCCACACCCACCTGCTGCTCCTCGGGCGTTGGCGGGAGTTTGAAGTCTGGCGGGAAGTTGATGGAACCGCCGTGCAACACGACCACGGCGTTCCACAGAAGCGGAATCAGCGACAAGATGGCCGCCAGCAGAGTGAGCACGCCTCCTGAGCGGAAAGCAAACCTAGTGCGCTTTTTTATCCCGAAAAAGGCGTTCCGTAATGCGTAGAGAAGAGCAGCAAAGCCTAGGATTCCGCTGGCTAACGACACAAACATTAGAATCTGCGCGGCTGTGATTTCCAGAGGCGTGAAAGCATCGCAGAGGTGGAACGAGGAGCAGTGCATAACAAGGAGCTCGGGGGAAGCGTCATGGTGGGAAGAAGAAACACGCACGGAAGATACCGATCCATGCGATGCCGGAGGAGACACTCGGGTGTTGCGGGATCAGCCAGACACGCCACTGCACCAGACCCAGCGACACGGCGAGCAGAGAACACCCCACTAGCCCCAGCGGGAGAGCTCCAAGCTGCGCCTGAGCAGAGTGCGCCAAGTACACCATCTGGAGGACGAGGAGGGAGCAACAGTGTGACATCAGCGTTGTGCTTTATTTAAAAACTAACAGTTCAAGAAAGAGGAGTGCTTCAGTCAGTAATTTTTTTATCAGATGCTCATCAGGATCAGCAGTGAAAATACTCTAATAACGTCAGTTCAAACAAAAGAAATGCAATAAAGGAAGTTTATTTAAACTGGTTAATTCTCTGATCTGTGGCAAATTCAGCGGTAACGTTTTGTAAAGTCCTTTGAGATAACTACTATTGTGATTTAATCTATACAAGATTAAATTTAATTGAAAGAGAGTTCTTTTTTTAGATTCCTGGTAAAAGGACGGAAGTGGGACAAGTATAGGAGTTGGACCCCTCGGCGACATCATGAGTTTTGATCCCAGTGTAAGCAATAATTATTTATTTTATAGTGGAAACCACTCCGATTTTGGTCTTTGTATAGTCCTCCTTAAGTTTTGTGTAACTTTTTACAACATTGTTTCTGAGTGTGATGAATCCCCAGTGCTTCGATGTCTGCTAATATCTTTTCATTTTGCCGCGATTGCCTCAAACCTCATCTGAATTTCTGTTGGTGCTGTAGAACAGTGTTTTTTCAACCTTTTTTGAGCCAAGGCACACTTTTTTCAACATGAAAAAAATCTTGCGGCACACCTCCAGGAGAAAATGTAAAAATGTATACAGTACTAATGTAAAAAAATATATACTGTACATACTCTGTGGTGATATATAAAGTATATCTTATCTTATAATGTATACAGTATACTCTGTAGCCTATATTCACAATATACAGTTATTCTCATCAAAATGCTTAAGTCCAGGCCTTGAAATTAAGCTTTATTTAATATTTCTCGATACAATTAACAAGAGTTTGGGAATAAAGTGGCACTAACTGTGTGGAAAAAAACTAAGAAAATCCACTCTCTGCCCAAATAGTCAAATAATAACTCACACAAAGAACATGCATTGTTAGTGCATGGGAAACATTTTGGTATCCGAGCTTTAAATTCAGGAGTTTTGGATGAGGGACACGGGAGGTCCTGAACGCGAGTCCATGGTTCTGTCCGGTCCGCATGTCTGTGGTTCTGTCCACTCGACTACGGTCTGCGCTCGGTACCCCAGTTCAGAAGTGCGTTCGCGAGAGCTGTTGTACTAAAAAATTGTACATTTCATAGTTAAACCACTACAACGCGGCCACAGCTACCCCCGGGGCAGAGCGGAGGATGTTAATCCTGTTCAGAAACGGCATAATTCATTTTCAAAAACGTCTATCACTTTCACTTCTCACTCGCCACAAAGCTCTTGTCTCGCTCCCTCACACATTTGTTGGTCGCATCCAATTTTACCTTTCTCGCCACAATGCTGACCTGTTACAGCCAGTGGTCGCATCCAATTTTTCAGTTTCAAAGTACTTAGCTATCTGCTGCCATCTACATTACATGGTTACTCACAGTTCAAAACAAGTCACCGCTCGTTGCAGCTATTTTTAGACAAAGTAGACGAATTTCTCACGGCACACCAGACAATATCATACGGCACACTAGTGTGCCGCGGCACAGTGGTTGAAAAACACTGCTGTAGAAGGCAACTGCCTTCACCTCATCATCCGTCCATTTATCGTACATCTTGCTATCGTTTGCTGTTTCAAGTGGTGTCTGCTAGGCTAATACTGCTAGGCTAATACTGCTAGGCTAATACTGCTTGGCTAAAGCTGCTGGATTTTGAAAAGGCTGTTTGTTTTGGTGCTAGCTGCTGGCGTCAGAGCCTGCTCTAGCTTTAGCCAATCAACGCCAGGTTTTCCTCAAGCCCCACCAGGAGCTGTTCAGGGCCCAACGAAGTACCTAGCATGGAGGAGGGACTCCCTTGGTCCCCATATGTAAATGGCCCTGTGGGGGAGGTTCCTGCAGTGGAGACACGCACCTGAGGGGGTGGCCCTAGAAAATTACCCCGAAGTTCCTGTGGTGGAAACGCAACTTAACTTATACTATATGGGTGACCCAAGCCCCCATAGATGATGATCCAAGATGGCGCCCTATTCAAATGAATGGCTTGTGCTCGGTAGTGCATGGGACTTCACGGGGACCAGTCCTGATCCATTCTCTGGTTCAGTCCTGGTCCAGTCAGTCCTGGTTCAGTCCTAGTTCAGTCCTAGTTCAGGCCTGGTTCAGGCCTGGTTCAGTCCTAGTTTCAGTCCTGTTTCAGTCCTGTTTCAGTCCTGATCTCTTACCTTTCATTGCACAGAAAGAGAAATGTTTGATTCACTTCCTTCTCGTCGCCTCCTCATAAACCTGGTGAATGATTGACAGGTTATGGTCCCAGACTCCAGCTTCCGTCGACAAAACTCCAGCAAAAATACATCTCAAACTAAAGTGTAGAAAGTTCCTGATGTTAGTGAGGATGGAGTCAACATTAGAAAACAATGTTGTACATTTGTCACATTTATTCAACACTCTTCAAAAAGGCTTCAATAAGTTACTAAACATAGTTCACATCATAATAAACATTTATTTTTTGTCTCTCTCTGATCTCTCTTGTCTTCGTCTGGCTTTTCTCTCATCCCTATAGTCTCCCTTCTCTCTCTCCCTCCCTCTGGTCTCTCTCTAGCCTCTCTCACTGGTCTATCTCTTCTGTCTCTCTCTGGTCTCTTATCTCTCTCCCTCTGGTCTCCCTCTGGTCTCTCTCTGGGTTAGTCTCTTTCTCTGTCTGTCTTTCTCTAGTCTCTATTTCTCTCGTCTTCAATAAGGCTTCAATAAGTTACTAAACACATTTAAACATTATATTACAACATCAGAGAGGGAAGTAAAAAACTGAAAAACATTGTAGTTTCAGTTGAAAGTCTCAGATAATGATGCTCATTGATCAGTGAAGGCAAAAGAGTGATACGAACCAGCTCCATGGTTTGCCCAAACGTGAGCAGACAATCATACGTTATCACATTAACATTATTTATATACATCGCTCCTTTATAGAACTCACGTCTAAAGTTACCCATTTAACTACGACTCTATGAAACGCAAATGACTGGTCAGTAGGGATGAAATACTGAGACCACTCCCTGCTGTTTTTTGTGTCCCAACATTTTTGTTGAATGAAGTTAGGTCCCCCAGCTTTAGTTTCTACAGCAGTTACATATAATTGCATAGTGTTGTTTAAGTTAGGTCCCAGAGTTTTAGTCCTACAGCAGCTTCTACATATTAGCCTGGTCGTACCTCGTACCCCACCATAGTACAAATTACATTTCATACTAAGGTCTAGAGGTGCTCCATTGAGCTTTGTTAACAGGTGGGAGGGGTTAACTACTTTTGCAGATTGAAACGATTGGATCTGATTAGTATGTAATGCGCCCAAGTGAGTTGTAAACAGCATTTAGCCTCGGCATCTCCTTTGCCGCTAACAAAGCCTGTGGGGAGTAGTGCCACAATCTTTGCCAGCAATGGCATGTGCTAAACATTCTTCTTGCCCCGGCTTCAATTTCTTGATAGAACCAGACCGGAATGCTTTACTATTGCATTCTTTGCCATTGCCAAACTACAACCTGCTTATCAACATGTGTTCTATATTATTTTTTTGTGTTTTAAATGATGATTCTCTGATCTGTGTTGGAGATTTCAATGGTTTTGTTAAGTCCTCTGAGAGGACTACTGTTGTGATTTAGGGCTATACAAGAGTAAATTGTATTGTATTGTATTGTATTGTATTGTAGTCCTACAGCAGTGGCCTCTGGTCCAGCGGCAGACTGTCCAGCAGACATGTCAGTTGCTCCTCTCCCAGTTTAACCTTGTCCTCTAGGCGGCGCTGTTCAATGATGAGCGCAGACTTCATCTTTACAAAGTGACGGTAGTCGTCCAGGCTGGCGGGCGACAGGTGCGTCTCCATGACGACGGACACCATGCGCTCGCGGCGGTCCAGGTTCTCCTTCAACTCCTTGGCGTCCTCGTGCTGACGCATCAGCAGCTTCCTCTTCTCTGTCAGAGTCATCTGCAACAGAGACTCAGTGTTATGACCACAGGGAGCAGAGGATCAAAAGGTCTCTCTCTGGTCCCTCACTGATCTCTTTCTCGTCTCTCTCTGGTCTCTCCCTGGTCTCTCTCTACTTTCTCTCTTGTCTCTTACTCGCCGGTCTCTCTCTGGTCTCTCTCTCTCTCTGGTCTCTCTCTCTCTGGTTTCTCTCTCTCTGCTCCCTCTCTGGTATGTCTCTCTCTAGTCTCTTGCTCTCTGGTCCCTCTTTTTCTGCTCTCTCTCTGATATGTCTTTCTCTGGTCTCTCTCTGGTCTTGTATCATACCTTCTCAGAGTTGGGTGCGTCCGGGTCGAGACTGTTCAGAGCGTTCTCGACTCGGGCGAGGCGTCCGGACAGAGACAGCAGAAGAGACACAACTTTGTCCAGGTCTCCCACAAACATCCGGAAGCGTTCCAGCTGGTTCTGCCGACACATTCGCTGCACCATGGTCTCCACCTCTCTACCCAGCGCCTCGTTCTGCTCCACGTCCTCTTGCAGAGACCATCGAGCCTCGCGGAGCACGGCCAGCTTCCGGGCCAGGCTCCAGATCAACTCATGCTAAAGAGACACAAAAACACAAGGAATTGTGGCTCTCCTCTTCCTTCTCTACTAAGCCAGACAAGCTGGTGTCTGTCTCTCTCCGGTCTCTCTCTAGTCTCTCTCTAGTCTCTCTCTCTCTCTAGTCTCTCTCTAGTCTCTCTCTAGTCTCTCTCTAGTCTCTCGCTAGTCTCTCTCTAGTCTCTCTCTAGTCTCTCTCTAGTCTCTCTCTAGTCTCTCTCTAGTCTCTCTCTAGTCTCTCTCTAGTCTCTCTCTGGTCTCTCTCTGGTCTCTCTCTGGTCGCTCTCTGGTCGCTCTCGGGTCGCTCTCTGGTCGCTCTCTGGTCGCTCTCTGGTCTCTCTCGGGTCTCTCTCGTGTCTCTCTCGGGTCGCTCTCTGGTCGCTCTCTGGTCGCTCTCTGGTCGCTCTCTGGTCGCTCTCTGGTCGCTCTCTGGTCGCTCTCTGGTCGCTCTCTGGTATTTCTGGTCGCTCTCTGGTATTTCTGGTCTCTCTCTGGTCTCTTTCTGGTCTCTCTCTGGTCTCTCTCTGGTCTCTCTCTGGACTCTCTCTGGACTCTCTCTGGACTCTCTCGGGTCTCTTTATGGTCTCTCTCTGGTCTCTCTCTGGTCTCTCTCTGGTCTCTCTCTGGTCTCTCTCTGGTCTCTCTGTGGTCTCTCTGTGGTCTCTCTGTGGTCTCTCTGTGGTCTCTCTGTGGTCTCTCTCTGGACTCTTTCTGGTCTCTCTCTGGTACCTTCTTGCTGGCCAGCCCTGGGTCCAGCTCGTCCTCAGAATCCTGCTCCAGCTCCTGTCCCATGTCCTTCATCTTGATGAGCAGCTCAGCTTTGGGAGCAGACGTGTTGTAATAGGAAGAGCTGGGGACCAGGCTGAGACACACATGGTCCTCCTCCTTCCTGCAAACACAACATCATATCACACACACATAACACACAATCACCAACATGTCTCTATTAAAACTGAGGCACCTGACTTTAGTGTTTCATATTTAACACATTTGATCAGTTGAACAGAAATCCTTTTAAGATAAGACATGACACTGTTACGTAACCCAGCTTTAATGAATAAGCAGCGAAATAATTAAACGCATAAAAAACACATGACAACCACGTCACCAGTCCCTGGCTCTAAAACAGTCACAGTTGCCTCAATCAGTAGTTTCTCTCTGTTCTCTCTGTGGTCTCTTTCTGGTCTCTCTCTGGTCTCTTTCTGGTCTCTCTCTGGTCTCTCTCTGGTCTCTTTCTGGTCTCTCTCTGGTCTCACTCTGGTCTCTCTCTGGTCTCTCTCTGATCACTCTCTGATCACTCTCTGATCACTCTCTGATCACTCTCTGATCACTCTCTGGTCTCTCTCTGGTCTCTCTCTGGTCTCTCTCTGGTCTCTCTCTGACCTTTGGTTGTTGCGTGGTGAGGCTAGAGGTCTGGGGGCTCTGTGCCTCTGGACCCCCTCCTCCTCTGGGTACAGTCCCTCCATCAGGTCCATGGTGGTACGGCGCCCGCTCTGGTCCAGGACTTCAGCCAGAGACCGGTCCTTGTGCATGATATCACGTAACAGCTCCTCTCTCTTCACATCTTCAGCCGAGCGTGAGTCAGACGGGAATGGAACCATCAACCTGAACAATTACAAATATGGGTCACATTTTAGATAAACCTTTACTAATCAACAACTAATTAAGAGATAAATACTGTATCATTTATGGTGAATTAGCTGTTGGTAGAGCATTGGCCTCTGAGCCCACCTTGAGACCTTCTCCACTGACTCCACTGATGTCTGCTGTCATTGTGTCCTTGGGCAAGACACTCAACCCACTTTGCCTATAACCAGCGCGGAAGTGATATTTGCTGCTTGCCTTGATGTGTATGCATCAAACTGAAATTTCCCCATTGCGGGACGAATAAAGGACCTTCTTCTTCTTCCTCTTATTCAGCATCTAAATGACATCTGACACTTTCTCATCTGGATTAAGGTACACTGATTAGCACTTAATTAGCGGTTAATTAGTGAGGTCTCTCTTTCTGGTCTCTCTCTCCGGTCTTTCTCTCTGGTCTCTTTCTCCAGTCTTTCTCTGGTCTTTTTCTGATGACTCTCTCTGATCTCTTTCCGGTATCTTCTCTGGTCTTTCTCTCTCTGATCCCTCTCTGGTCTCTCTCTGATCTTTCTCAGGTTTCTCTCTGGTCTTTCTCTAGTCTCTTTCAGAGAGACAGAAAGGAGATAGATATTTTTCTGGTATCTATCTCCAGTTTTTTTCTCTGGTCTCTCTCTCTGGTCTTTTTCTGGTCACTCTCTCTGATCTATATTTGGTATCTCTCTGGTCTCTCTCTCTGGTCTTTTTCTGGTCACTCTCTCTGATCTATTTCTGGTATCTCTCTGGTCTCTCTCTCTGGTCTCTCTCTCTGGTTGCTCTCTCTGGTCTCTCTCTCTGGTCTCTCTCTCTGGTCTTTCTCTGGTCTCTCTCTCTGGTCGCTCTCTCTGGTCGCTCTCTCTGGTCGCTCTCTCTGGTCTCTCTCTCTGGTGTCTCACCCGGTCTCCTCTTGGGTCTTTGTGCTGGAGGCTCCGGTGGGACAGGGGGCAGAGGAGCCGACAGAGCACAGACTCGGAGTCCTGTCCTGGGGCTGAAGGCAGAGGTCTGGGCTTGTGTCTGTCTGGAGCTCTCTCTGAGGACTGACCAAAGATCACATTCAGTCCACGACCAAGAGTTTGTTAAAGACACATTTTTCCACATTTTTTAAAGTTGGGAAACGTATAAATACTTTTCAAGTCAACGTAAAGTTCCTTCCATAGAACAACACCAGTCAAATTTATTTAAGTTATTTTTCTGCATTGTTTTTGAAAATATGGAAGTCTAAAGCCAGAGAGGTTCTATTGAGATCAAAAAGAAGAGGACTTACAGGACAGCCCTGTCTAAAGCCGCTGCAAAAATCTACTTTCCTCAACTTTTGTCCAAATCACAGCTGTTTTCCCATGACATTCACACACTCACAGTTGCATATTTCTTTTCTTTTTTCCCCTGATAAAAGTAAAAAGTGCAATTTTAGAGGTAAGAATTTGCAAAAGGCCAAGATTGCACATTGTTATCCCCACAAACATGTTGTGTATTTTAACAAACAGACAAGTTCGGGGTTTAAAGCAGGCCTGAAGAACAAGGATCACTGCAAATGTCAGTGAGTCTAACTTAAAGCTGAGGAATGCAACTTTCAAACTACAACAAAATAACTCTATCCGTTCACATACATTTCTGGTCACATGTTTTGATCAGCTTTTCAGAACTGTTGTGTTCTGGTCCGTTCACAACATTTTACTCTTACTCTTTCTGTCGGACAAACCACACGTGTCATTTATGAAACCAAAGTTACAGAGCCGAGTTTTAAGCATGCGTGGTTCTCTGGTCCTGCACAGTCTGGTGTTGTTTACCTACCCGAGCTAAAGCCTCTTGTGTGGGCAGGACCTTTACGAAACGTGGCCCCACCATAAGCAGCTTACCTCGCGGAGACATTGGAGCACGAGGCTGGAGAGTCCGGCTGAGGGGACGAGAGGTCAGGGCCCAGAGGGACTGGAGTGACTGGGACTGGAGAGACTGGTGAGACTGGAGAGATTGGGATTGGAGAGACTGCCCTTGGGTCTGGGTCTGTTCTGGTCTCTGGTCTTGTCTCTGGTCTTGTCTCTGGTCTGGTCTCTGGTCTGGTCTCTGGTCTGGTCTCTGGTCTGGTCTCTGGTCTGGTCTCTGGTCTGGTCTCTGGTCTGGTCTCTGGTCTGGTCTCTGGTCTGGTCTCTGCCCTGGTCTCTGCCCTGGTCTCTGCCCTGGTCTCTGCCCTGGTCTCTGCCCTGGTCTCTGCCCTGGTCTCTGCCCTGGTCTCTGCCCTGGTCTCTGCCCTGGTCTCTGCCCTGGTCTCTGCCCTGGTCTCTTCTCTGGTCTCTTCTCTGGTCTCTTCTCTGGTCTCTTCTCTTGTCTCTAGAGTGTTTGGAATTGGACTCCTTGGTTCTGTCAGTTCTGGTAATCTGAAAACAAGATAATTTTTTTTTACATATAGCACAAATTCATACAAACAGTAACCCTTGTTTAAAGCTGGGGTCTGTAATTTTCAATCTAACATTTGTTATTTTCTAACATTTGTAATTTTCTAACATTTGTAATTTTCTAACATTTGTAATTTTCTAACATTTGTAATTTTCAATATAACATTACAAATCCATATGCATGTTTCCCTTGATTTAAACTGGTTATTCCAATTCTGAATTCCCTCGCCATTGTCTCTGTGAGTTAGCGACCGCAGACACGAATCTATGAACTTGGAGTCTGTCTTAAAACAATGACACTAACATCAAACATTCTGCGTTTTAGTGAGAAGTGGAGAAGGCTGTATGTGCAGAGATGGGTTCACCTGCTCTGATTGGACTGAGGCATCGGAGAGTCTGTCCAGGGGGGAGAGGACCTCTGAGGAAACACACAAACACATCATCACAGTTTTACAACGGAAGAAACCAAAAGAGTCCTAGAAGGGGATATCAGAAAGCAAACGTATAAACTGTCTTTTCTATTGCACTGTTCCTGTTCTATTTCAGATATTTAGCACTTATTGTCGTCTTGCTAAGGTCGCTAGGGCAAGCTGGAGTTACCCTTGCGAATGAAAACATCTAATTGGTCAATCCTTAGCAAACACTTTGCAAATGTTCTGTACTTTAAAGGTGTTGTGGTTCACTTTTACAAGACTATTTCTACCAGACAAACTACATGTGTTCTTTATAAGAATAAAGTTACTTTAAAAACACTTTTGTCTTCTCACCGTTGCGTAACAGTCTGCGGAAGGGGAGGACCGTGAGCGCTCGTGGACGCACTTCTCTGATTCTGCGTCTAAAATGTTCTCTGCAGAGTGACATCGACCCTGGCTTTTGTTTGCGTCTTTCTTCTGCTGACTCCACTTCTCCTGGTACTCTGCAAACGTTCCCAGCCGTGGTGTCTCTGGGCCAACTTCCCAGGGGCCATCACCACAAACCACTTTGTCCGCGTTGGGTTTAGTTTGCGGTTTGGGGAAAATTGTTTTAGCGTCCGTGACCTTTGTACGCTCTTCAAAAGAGCCCGCCTCCACTCCCACCTTGTCCATCTTATCCGGCTCGGAGAACGAGTGGGTGCGCTTAGCTAACGGCAGCCGCTTCCTTCCCCGCACTCTCCCATTCGCTCTTGTCGCGCCCCATGGCTCCAAATCGCGCCGCTGGAAGGAAGTGGCCTGCAGAACACGGGCCTGTGCTTCTTTCAGATGATCCTTGTACGTGTTGGACATCTCGGACGTCTTCCAGTCCTCCGCTTCATCGCCTTCTCGCAATAACGAGGCGGCACTGCAGCTCTTCTGCAGCTGTGCGCGCTTCTCCTGGACCTCGTTGCGCAACGTTGTTGCGTAGCGGTCGCTGCGGCGATGGTTTTCTTGCGCCAACGAGTGCAAGAGCGGCGTCCTCTGAGCTGTGATTCGCTGGTCGTCCTGTGGCACCCATGGGTCCTGCTGCCGCTTGAGTTCCATCTGCTTTTTCAAATCACTCTTTTCCTCTTCACCCCTGGCAGCGTCTTGCTTATTCTCGAGTTGTGTTTGTCCATTCGGCTCCAGAGGTAGACTGTAGAGCGCTTTTGCCTTAAAACCCATCTGCGAACACGCGTCAGTAGTACGTGGCCAATGCGATGTGCTTCCTTGGTTCGGTCGGTAAAACTTTCCAGCCTTTTGCGACGGATTCAGGGTCGCGCTGCGGTGGTTCCGCCGTATGTTAGCGGGCAGATCTTGCAGACTGCGGTAGTAGCTTGCGACACTTTGGCTTTTGGCGCTCGGGACCGTCCTGGCGTTCGCATACAGCGCGCTCTCGTCGCTGTGCTGCCTCTGATGGACGGGTTGCAGGCCGTTGAAGTGTCGCACGTCGATACTGGACAGCGAGAACAGCTTACTTGGATGCAGCTGCATGTAGCTGGGATCCGTGGCCGAACTAGGGTGAAGCAAGTCTATGTTCAGGGGCCTCGGCTCGGGTTTCTCTTGATGATTTTTTAGGTTGTTGTCTCGCAGGTTTTCCGCGGATCGGTTTTGGTGTAATTTCTGCGGAGCGGTCGTGAAGGGGAAGACTTTGGTGGCGGCAAAACTGTCACTTCTCAGCGGTAGAGGAGGTGGAGGAGGTGAGTGTGACCTCTTCTTCTCTGGAAACTGCCAAACGGGATTCGGTCGACCTCCGACAGATAGACGTGACCGAGGCTGTTCGTTGGCGCCATCCCAACAGAGTCTGCTCCGGTCCTGGAGTGGCCCTTTGTAGAAGAGGCTCTCGCTGCTGGTTCCTCTCCTGAATAAGGGGTTATGCGTTACATCTCTGCTGTTGTATTGTGGTGCTGTTGGGAGGTTGCGACTCGGTCTCTCCGTTTGATCCATGGATTTTCCGGAGCTCAGAGTGCAGGTGAAAGAATGGCGTTGAAGCAGCTGGTGTGTGGCTTTGGGCCTAAACACAAAAATAATGTTAAGTAGATTTACAAGTAATTTACACTCTTGCTTATAAGCAAAACAACCATTTAAAAAAAAGATTCCCCAATGAGAGCCAAAAAATAAATATTAGCATTTTGTTCTGGCTCCCGCTAGCTTATGTTCAAATTGGCCTCAAGTCTGCATTTAGGCTAACACAATTGTGATGTCACACTTGGTCAGTCCACTCCACGCTTTATGCTTTTAGGCGATTGCGATTTAGTTTGAGGATTGAGAGGTGTGTTTGGGGAACTTAGCAGGTCCGAAGCGCTCGAGTAAAGTCATGTGATCCGTGATTTTTTTACCTGGCGTCATGTTGGAGCTGCCACACCGGAGCCGCTTTCCCAGAAGTTTCCTGTTCTGGAAGCTTCAGCGAGTGCCAGGTCTGAGGCCGAGACTTCCTGTGAAACAGCGACAAACCAGGTCAAGCCAGGCTACACTCAGTCACTGTCAAGTCTTCGTTATAACCTGTATACAGATGGACAATGCTAACATTGACTGTATACAGATGGACAATGCTAAAATCATGCTTACTTAATCATTCAATTCAATTCAATTCACTTTATTCTCGTTTAGCCCTAAATCACAACAGTAGTCATCTCAGACGACTTTACAGAACCGATTAAATCGCCAACATAGATCAGAGAATCAACAGTTAAAACACAAAAAATATAGAACACACATGTATTTGTCCATAGGGAGAGACCAATGCCCACGAATGTTGATAACTGTACATGTTGTAGAATGTAGTGTCCTGGAACATCACCACAGTCCTTCATATTAGACACTAACTGTCTAACAGACTGCTGCATCAAGGAAAAACTCTAAAGCCCAGTAGGAGAAAAGTGAGAAACCTCGGGAGTTCCACACTGAGAGAGGGATACGCTCCACTCCGCTCTGTAGCTTAGGCCCGTATGTAAGGACCTAAGCTTCAGAACGAGGACCAAGGCCACGCAGCGGAATGATCTGCTTTATGGTCAGACAATTTCTCCCATAGATGCACCATGTTCAATGCAGAATCTAGAATATTATGTACAGCGTTATTTGTGTTTTGTGGTTATGTCTTACCCTTTGAACCGACTCCTCCTGGATAGCGAGACAAGGGAACAAGAGACAGGTCAAAGTGTATCATATGTTTAAAATAATTTCAAAGCCCAAGGAAGAAGACGACACTACCGTACTTTACCACTGTAGTGTACAGCCATGTGTTTCACTAGACAACCACAAGTTTGTGTAAGCTCTCAGTCGTACAGGATTAGTCAAAGCAAAGGAAGGTTTCTCACCCATAATCTGTACTTCTTAGCAGGTTTTCCCAATGTTTCGTCCTTAATCCCAAAAACTTTTTCAAGGGAATGAAATCTCTGCTGAGATTGATCTCAGCAGACAATAGGTCTGTGACATGCTAATGAGTTAGGATCATTAGCCCTAGCAGGGTCGTTAGACCTGCTCCCTACCACATCTTAACAGACCTTGATGTGTTTATGAGTTAGCTTCAGGATTAGGGTGTGGCTAACCACACTCATAGGTTATAAATCTACAATGCTGGTCTGAGATTTCCTTCCCTTGAAAAAGTTCTTTGGATTAAAGACAAAACGTCGGGAAAACCTGCTAAGAAGTACAGATGATGGGTGAGAAATCTTCCTTTGCTTAGACAACCACAACTCACAAACTACATCTACTCCTACCACTACTATTGCTAACGCTGCAGCAGCTGCTGCTGGCTTCTACTGCTACTACTGCTGCAACTGTTGCTACCTTGTGGGGTACTATATGGACAAGCCTATGGTCTACATGGAAGGGGGGAGGGGGGTTGGGGGTGGAGGGTACCTCATGGAAGAGCGTAATATCTTGGTGAGAAAGCTGCGGGCCACGTGCACCTCAGACTCGGACGGCATCGTGACCCGAGTCGCTACGTCCACCATGACCTGCAGAGGGCGTCAGCAGAGGGTCTGTGAGGGTCTGTGAGGTGAGGGTCTGTGGGGTCTATGAGTTTGTGAGGGTGTGTGAGACTGTGAGGGACATTGTGAACACAGACACTTGAGACGTGCAGGAGCTCATGTTTTTGAGGACTTAGTCCAGTCTCCAACCTGAAGCCCTCTCCATGTAGCTCGGATCTCTCTCTCTCTTTTTGGTCTCTCTCTCTGCTTTCTCTGGTCTCTCTTTCTGCTCATTTTCTCTGTTCTCTCTCTTTCACTTTCTCTTACTCTCTCTGATCTCTCTCGTTCTCTATGGTCTCTTTCTCTAAGACTCCCTTCCGTCTTCTTCATCGGGTGGATTCTGAACTTGGCTTTTTGCTTTTTGTGTCTCTCCGTCACTGATATCCGAAACATGAGACACGATCCACAAAGGAATTCCAACATCTGTGACCCGCTTTTGGAGACACTGGACCAGAACTGAGAGAAAACCTACTTCTGGTACTTATGGAAACACGTCCTGGTCTCTCGCTTTTCCCAGCAACCAGAGAGAGGCCAGAGAGAGAAACCAGAGAGAGACCAGGGAGACAGACCAGAGATAGACCAGAGAGAGACACCAGAGAGAAAACACAGAGAGAAACTAGACAGAGAGACAGACCAGGGAAGGAGAGCAGAGAGAGAGACAAGAGAGAGAGGGACAAGAGAGAACGACCAGAGTAAGAGAGCAGAGAGAAACCAGAAAGATGACCAGAGAGAGAAAGAGACCAAAGAGACAGTTGAAAATGATACTTCATAACGGTCGTAACTTCAGCAAAACTCTTTACCGACGTATGATGTGTTTCATTCTGTGTTCGATGACAAAACAAAGCGCTGCAGTCATCACAGTCAGGGCTTAGAGAGACTCCCCCATTCACCACCTCCCTCCCTCACCCCTCCCTCACATCTGACTCACTGCTAAAACAGCAAAACACACATTAAAGTGAATGTTTAGAATGTGTGTAAACGTTTTTGTTTCATGAATAACATACAATATGTCCAGAGACCAGAGAGAGACCAGAGAGGGAGACCAGACAGAGATCGGAAATAGACCAGAGACAGACCAGAGAGAGACCAGAGAGAGACCAGAAAGAGAGACCAGATTGAGACCAGACTGAGCGAAAGACCAAACTGAGTGAGAGACCAGAGAGAGAGAGCGATAGAGAGCAAGGATCTCTTCATCTTAATCCCAAAAAAATCTGACAAGATCAAAAATTCCCCTGAGAGAAGCGTTCGGAGAGTGCTTGGAGTTTCCGATATCAACCTGGATGGAGGTAAAAGCCACTGCAGGTCTGTTTGGCTGAGGAAGTGCTAAACCAGCTGCATGTGAGAACTGTTATTATTTTCACATTTTGGAGAAAACACATGCATCTTGGTGAGTTTTGTAGGCAAATCTGCTTTGAAGAACATAAAACTATTGAACAAAAGTATTTATGATTTTATATTATATCATTTTTTGAGCACAAAGTCTGTGGAGAATCAAGAGCTGGCGGATAAGTGCAGAAGAAACTTTCAAGTGACAGATTTGAACCGACACCGTCTCTACAGGAGTCGTACAGTGGAGGCTGTTGCTTGTGCTGTCCAAACCTAGCACAGTGATTAAAAATATCTTAAGTCGTTTTTCTTTTAAGCTGAATTTTGATTATTTTTCTTGACGTGACCTTAGACCTTTTTAGACCCGGATTTATGTTCTAAAAAGGGCTACTTTAAATCACTGTGGCAGGTCATATGACATTTGCACTGAGAGAGAACAGAGAGATAAAAGAGAGAGACAAGAGAGAGGGGAGGGACAGAGAGACCAGAGAGAGACCAGTGAGAGAAACCAGAGAGAGACTAGAGAGAGAGAGAGAAACCAGTGAGAGACCAAAGAGAAACCACAGAGAGACCAAAGAGAGTGACCAAAGAGAGTGACCAAGAGAGAGACCAGAGAAATTCAAGAGAAAGACCAGAGAGAAACCAGGGCAAGACCAAAGAGAGAAAACCGAGAGTGACCAGAGAGAGAGACCAGAGAGAGACTGAAGAGTGTGACCAGAGAGAGAAACCAGAGGGAGACCAAAGAGAGAGACCAGAGGAGGATTAAAAAGAGACCAGACAGACCAAAGCATACCCCATTTGAATTGTCTCTATGTGAGTTGAAGAATTCTGGTTTTCATTTCTGCTGTTTTGGACTTTAATAAAAAAATTTTTTTACACAATATTATAACAAGATAAGACTTTTGAAAGTTTTCATACCTGGTGATGAAATGTTATGTTGTGAATCCAAACATGTCGATAAAGTTGTGGAAAGCTGTTTGAAGATGAGAAACGCAGTTGCAGGAGCAGCTTACAGCAACACAATGGACACTGCTGATAACACACAACCCAGGCTGTGTGTTTCTGCAGGGTAAGAGCTGCATGGTCAGGGCTGCAGCCACAGGGCCCTCACACACACACACACACACACACACACACACACCAACAGGATAAAGAAGCAAGACGCATGATAAGGAGGAGGCTCTGGGACATCACATGTGACATCATACTTACTTTTTCTTTTAATTAAAACTAGTTTCATTGTTGAGGTTTGATGTTACACAACCCAGCTTTAGTAGGCAGACCAGAGAGAGAGCAAAGAGAGAGCAAAGATGGAGAGCAGAGAGAGACTAGAGAGAGACCAAAAAGAAAACAGAGAGAGACCAGAGAGAGAGCAAAGAGAGCAGAGAGCGACCAGAGAGAGAGCAAAGAAAGACTATAAAACGACAAGAGAGACTATAGGGAGAGACCAGAGAGAGAGAGAGAGCAGAGAGAGAGCAAAAAGATACCAGAGATACCATAGAGAGAGACTAGGGAGAGACCAGAAAGAGCAGAGAGAGCGAAAAGAGACCAGAGAGACCATAGAGAGAGACTAGGGAGAGACCAGAGAGAGACTAGAGAGAGATTAGAGAGAGAGCAAAGAGAGACTAGAGAGAGACCAGAGATAGGGAGAGACCAGAGAGAGACACCAGAGAGAGCAAACAGAGACGAGAGAGAGACCAGAGAGAGATTAGAGAGAGACCAGAGAGAGACCAGAGAGTGCTGCTGGTCCCTCTGGCTGCAGCTCCACTCCTGCTGCTTCACCTCCTCCTCCACTCACCTAGGCAACATGGACCGCACCACAGTAGCCTCTCACGGGGGAAACCGGGCCGTACCATAAAAACCAGGCAAAAGTATCTCTTCAGAGGGCTTGACCTGGTGTGGAGCAGCCGCGGCAGACTGTGTGCTGGTTTTTGTGGGTTTATTCCAGGGTTTTATTACAGGTTTGAAATGTGGAATAGTGTGGGATTAGTTCAGTCCATGTTGTAATCTGGTTATGGGATTTGGAGTTTAAGCCGGTGTTGTCATTTAGAGCGACCATAGACACCCTCCTGTCAAAGAGCCAGCCTATATTATTATACTTTTATTATTACTTGTATTGAAATGTATAAGTGGGGAAAAAGATAAAACTATGTAGAAGTCACTTAATTTTATTTGCCCACAAACAAAACAAAATATTGCTGCTTCTTTATTGTATTTTAAAAAGTTTATATTTTGTGTAAGAACGATCCCTGTGTCACTATTGGACTCTTTCGGCTGAGAGCTGATTGGCTGTGAGAGGGGGGTTCATTCTTGTTTATTCTTGTTTACTTTTCTGTGTGAAAAATTTTATCTGAAGATGTGGCAGAGGCCAGAAATACATGCTGTTTCAGTCTCTGTTTCAGTCTCAGCTTCAGTCTCTGCTTCAGTCTCTGCTTCAGTCTCTGCTTCAGTCTCTGCTTCAGTCTCTGCTTCAGTCTCTGCTTCAGTCTCAGCTTCAGTCTCTGCTTCAGTCTCTGCTTCAGTCTCAGTTTCAGTCTCTGCTTCAGTCTCAGCTTCAGTCTCTGCTTCAGTCTCTGCTTCAGTCTCAGTTTCAGTCTCTGCTTCAGTCTCTGCTTCAGTCTCTGCTTCAGTCTCTGCTTCAGTCTCAGTTTCAGTCTCTGCTTCAGTCTCTGCTTCAGTCTCTGCTTCAGTCTCTTTCACCCTCCCTCAGCCAATCAGCCCTCAGCCCAAAGAGTTCTAAATAATTGATGAATGTTTTAAGTAAGAAATGTAGTAGTTGTGTTGCTGCAGCTCTGGTTATACTGCTGCTGCACAAAAGAGCTTTTGTCTCAGACTGACGAGAGAGAGGGGCCAGAGGGGGACGCACACACACACACACACACACCTATGCACAGATACACACGCACACAGGCATCACACACACAGACATGCACACAGATACACACGCAGATAGATACACACACAGATACACAAATACAAACACACGCACACACACACACACGGAGATACACGCATACAAACACACGCACGCACACAGACACACATACTAATTTGGACGTCATGGTGGCACAGTCGTTAGAACTGTCTCTTCTCAGCAAGAAGGTCCTGAGCTCCTGGGACAGAATGGGGCTTCCGGATGCTTCCTAAAACAAATAAAAAGTATATCAACGTCATTTTGCACAGAATTACCATGCTAAATATTGCAAACCGTTCGAGTGTTAGCGGAAAATAAGGCTGCATCCGTATTCATAAAACTTGCCTAGGTTGTAAGCGATCCTCCTCCTTTTATCGACCTAAATTTGAACAAAGTAGCATCAACCTTGTCTTTACTATAATATCTTAAACTTCAGCGAATTTAATTATCCTCTTATTTCATGTTTAGGATGTATTTGGATGTAGCCTTTGTAGGACTTTCTTCCAATTATATTTATAATTCTACTGCAATTTTATTTATTCCCTATTTATTAGACATACATGTATAAGTCCCACATCAAAAAGAGACTAACATTGTTTTAATTGGGCTATATGTGGTCTCAACTGATGTTTTATAGAATTAAGCTATAATTTGCAACAACAAAAAACGTCTTGACCTTCGTCTTTTACCGTTTTTAGAGCAATCTGTCAAAAAAAGTGATATTATGCAATTAAATACAAAAAGACTCTGCCCGGAATCAAACCCAGGTTATTGTATTGTAAGCGCAGTGGCTTAACCACTAGACCAGTGTTTTTCAATGTTTTTTAATGTTTTTTAGGCCAAGGCAAGTCTTGTGGCACACCACCAAGAGAAAATTTAAAAATATATTCTCTAGTCTGTAGCCTATATTTACAATATAAAGCCATTCTCAAAGTGCTTAAATCCAGGCCTTGACATTAAGCTTTGTTTAATATTTCTCAATACAATGAGTTAACAAGTTTGGGAATAAAGTGGCGCTAACTGTGGGGAAAGAAAACATACAAAAATCCACTCTCAGCCCAAAAAGTCAAATAATGACTCAGAGGGCTCTTATGTGTGAAATGCCCTGCTGTGTGTTCTGTTTGATTTAACAACATTCTACTTTTTTGCACAAATAACATGCATTTTTTATGTATGGGGAAAATTTAGATATCCGAGCTTTAAATTCAGGAGTTTTGCACTTCAGCAAGAGACACAGGAGAGACTCGGGGAGACACAGGAGAGACTCGGGGAGACACAGGAGAGACTCGGGGAGACACAGGAGATGGTCCTGAACACGAGTCAAGGACCGCACAGATGGTTCTGTCCAAGACTCCATGGTTCTGTCCACGCGACTAGGCCCGCGTGCGGCACCATGTTTTATTCATGCATCTATAATGGGTTTAACTCCCTTTTCAAAGACCCTCACTGTTATCTGCAGAGTTATTTCTCCGTATTGTTGCGAAAAGAGTCGTGGGCTTTATTTTGTCACAAAAAAATAATCAGACAAGGCACTTATTCCCTGTATGTCTCTGTGTTCCTGCTCATACGCCAACAACTTTACCCGCACGCTCGCTCAATCAGCTCACCCCAGAGCGCGCTCACGTTTCGGCCGCGTGCACGCAAACACGTCACATACTCTTCAATGCACTGATCGCAATTCCAAAAGGTTTAATATTGTCAGTGTCCGTGACTGTGGTTAACCTGCCTCTGTCTGCGGACCTCCCTCACTGTCCAGTAATCGCGAACGGTCTCTCAGTCACAATATCACAGCATTTCTGGTGCATCCAATGGATAGCCGTGATAGTGATACTGACCAGACGTCACCAGTCGATGCTCAATGACTTTGACCAGCCGCATGTGTTTTATTAATCTTCCACAGTCCGTTTGGGATAAACTAAATAGAGGCTTCTGAAGCGGATTCTAATCATAAACGGAGAGACCGTTTGCATTTTAACGCGATTACTGCCACAACATTATTGCTGCTACTTCATGGATGTGGTCACTGTCTGTAGGAAATATCTTCACATACTCTGCAGGTAGAGGATGACCCATGGTCATGGATCTATAACAGGGATGACCAGAGACCGTTCCAAACAACAACACATACGAGTTTTCAACTGCACATGCGCAGTTAAAAACTCGTAATTTTGACTTTTAAAGTTGAAATTTTGACTTTTAAAGTAAAAATGTTGACTTTTAAAGTCGTAATTTTGACTTTCTGTAGGCTTTTTTTTTTTTTACATGGCGGAAACGGGCTTCCATAGAAGTTATTTTTAGACAAAGTTGGCGAATTTCCCACGGCACACCAGCCAATATCATATAGCACTAGGGATGTAAAAAACTATGAATTTTCTTGACCGACCACCGAGCCTCATTAACCGGTTGAAACCGGTTAACCGCGTAGTTTAAAATAGTCCACGTTCTTTGAAATAACAGCCATTTCGAGCCCCGTACTTTTCATAAGTGCAGCTCTGCGTTCTACTGGATCAGAGCCGAGACAGCGGCGCCCAAACCCGCAACAGCTCCGGCACCTTTGCGCACAGAGAACTGCTTTTTTAATCTTCCCATTCTGCTGTGCTGCGGGTTAATACCAAAACTTTCTAGCAGCAAACGACGGCTCGTTCACATGGTCAGAGCAGCGAGTGACGAGCCGCGTCTCACAGGTCTTCACAAAAGTTTAAATACAAGTGATGTGTGTGGAGCTGATCCCGAGGACCATAAACACAAACATGTTCCATGTGGTTTGACTGGAGCCGCGTATTTGCGCGAATCCTTTGGGCTCCGTGACACAGAGGAGCGCGACAGACCGGTATGTGTGTGTGTATGTGTGTGTGTATGTATGTGTGTGTGTGTGTAAATGTAAGCTCCAATGTAGTTCTGACCCGCGCCAGTGTGCAACTTTGACGGTAACAGAGGGGAGAGATGATGCGTGTGGATGTTACGTATGGAGAGGGGGAAAGTGTGTGTGTGTGTGTGCGCGCGTGCGCGTGTGTGCATATGTGGCTCGTGCGGCGTGAGAGTCGTCCCGGAGTTTATAATACATGGGCGCACACAGCTAGATACAGACCCGCTCGTCACACCGTGCAAATAGGGCTTAAAATAGCGTTATTAAGAGACCTCCCCTCTCCCCTTTTTCTCTTTTTTTAACCGACAGCTTTGACCGGTTAACGCTGTGACGGTCAACCACTGGTTAAACGGTCGCCGATTTACATCCCTATATGGCACACTAGTGTGCCGCGGCACAGTTGTTGAAAAACACTGCACTAGACCACCTAAGCGCACAGTGAACGTCACTGTGAATGCAAGGAATTCAGCCGTTCATGAAGAACGCACTCAGAGCAGCAAGTTTTGCATCACACGAAAACTTTTATTCGCTGTATCAATTTTTCAAAGACGTCCCAAAATAAATCCTCGTTTTAGTCTTTGTTTTGTCATTAATGATTTGAGAGTCATAACAAGACCTTTTTAGTTCTGTGGACAGATGTTATTTTACCAGTGAGATTAGTGAGCCGCGCGGAGTTCTGGCATACAGGTGTAACGCCGAGATACACTGTCTTGAAGAGATGCACTGCCTCAGCTGTTTATGATGTAATGCAAACCTGCGCATGCGCGTCTCACGGCAGCCAAAGCATACCAAGCATTAACTTGCTAAAAGTTGAAATACGAACGAATTAAGACACGAATGTCACTTTTAATGCAATTTGAGGCGAGATGTTGATGGTCCCGTTTTGTCACATGTGGGTTTTAAGAGTCAAAGTTTCGTGCAAAGTTTAGTTTAAGCAGTCAACTGCGCCTGTGAAACCACAAAGCTAATGTTTTCATAGCAGTCCGCGGCTGCTGACGTAGGCTGATGACTCGTCCTGTGGCCACTCTA